ATCCGCGATCTCAAGCTCACTCATCCTCTTCATTCTCTTCCTCTCCCTCCATAGCCTTCTTCATCGCCTCTTTCTGGCTCGGTAACCGTCCACCCCTTCCCACCTTTGCCTGCCGCGCCATCTCCTTCTCCTCATCGCTGTCAGCCACAAGCGGAATCTTCTCAAACATGAACATGCGCGCAGCCCTGTCCTCACCCTTCCACCCCGTCTCCATGGCCCCCAGGGTCCTCACATGATGATACCCGGGATACTGCGCCCAATCAAACTTCCAGCTCTCCACAACCCTCAGCCCAGCATGTCTCGCCAGATCACGGATATTCCACAACGTGTACGGTTCGCCCTCGAATAGCGTGACGATGATTCTTCCGCCCATGCGCAGGAACGGTCGTATTGTCTGCTGAGACGTAGTAGTGCCTTTCTCTTTGTCTTCCTGGTTCCGAAGGATTTGTAACCGACGTTTCTGGTTCGATGTATCGAGGCAGGACTTGAAGAAAGATACTAGCAGGGCTTGGTTCGCGCGGACCTGTCTGTTGACGTCGGTGGAAAGACCGCCTGTGTGAGGGAACATGAAAGCGATTATATCCCAGCCCTCCTCGTCATCGTCATCGTCGCGTTTACACCGTAGATGTTTGTAGCTTGAAAGTTTGGTTGCGTCGATGTCGTGGTGGAGAGGTACGGGCGGTGTGAGGGATGAGATTTCGGTCTGGATTTCTTTGAATGAGGGGTATTTGCTGTGGAGGTCTTCTTCGTCGTCGTAGCTTGTTGCAGTTACGTTTGCGCAGCCGTGTTCTATAGTTAGGGAACGGGTAAAGCTAAAGTCGCCTTCGCCGACAAGGAGTATATGGTCGTATTCGCCAAAGGGTACTTTGGGTTTCTGTGATGGTTGTACATGGGCGGGCGTGGTCGTAGATGTAGTTGCTGCGGCGGCTGGTGCGCTCATCTTCTGCTTCTTCTTCGCGGGTGTCTTCGCAGCAGGTTTCGCCTCGGCGGCTGCTTTCGCGTTCTTTTTCTGGATCGCAAAAATCTTCTTGTCGCCTTCGCGCTTCAGTTCACGACGAGCGCGCTTGGTCTTTGTCTTTGACATGTTTGCTGTGTTTGCGATTGTTAGACAATTGGATGCGGCTCGGAGGTTTGCGGGGAAGATTGTTTGGCCATGGAATGCGACGAAAATCATAAGCTTGGACCACCCTCACACAGGGTTCAGGGTCTGCATGTGAAAAGAGGGACACTCGAGGACGTGGGTATCATTGTCTGCACGAAACGCAGCCCCGTGAAATTTTGGAGTGATGCTCAGATACCTAAATCTCCGAGTAGATGCAGATATCATGAATTGCTCTAGTGACTAGAATGTACAATGGATCTGGCGCAGCAAGCGCATTTTGCAAGCCGGCATGTTCAAACAGTTCAATGAAACAGCGTTACGACCGCTTATATCAAGTCGCGCTTAACGAACTGGTCGTAAAGAGATGATCCAAGCTTGGCGGGGGAGCGCTCAACCGTGACACCAGCAGCCTCAAGCGCGGTGATCTTGGAGTTGGCATCACCCTTTCCGCCGCTAACAATAGCACCAGCGTGACCCATTCTCCTGCCCGGGGGCGCGGAAATACCAGCAATGAAGCTGACAACAGGCTTGTTGGCAGTGTTGTACTCCTTCAAGAAGTCTGCGGCATCCTCCTCGGCAGTACCACCAATCTCACCAATCATGATGATACCGTCAGTCTCCTCGTCCTTCAAGAAAACGTTCAGGCAGTCGATGAAGTTGGTTCCGGAGAAAGGGTCACCACCAATACCGACGACGAGCGACTGGCCAAGGCCGGCTTGGGTGGTCTGGTTGACGGCTTCGTATGTAAGAGTTCCGGAACGAGAGACGATACCGACGCGGCCGCGCTTGTGGATGAAGCCTGGCATGATACCAATCTTGCATTGGCCCTGGTGAAGTCAATAACATAATCAGACCGAAAGAACTTGCTGAAGAACATACGGGAGCGATGATACCGGGGCAGTTAGGGCCGACCATACGAGACTTGTTCTGAGTCTTGAGCATGTCTGTGATGCGCACCATGTCTACTTCAATCAGCCTCCGTATCCCGCGATCTGTCATTGTGGTTCATACCGTGTTGTGGGATACCCTCAGTGATACTGTCTGTTGTAAGTTTCCATGTACTTGAGTTTGATATGCACACCTACGTCACAATCAGAGGAACCTCTGCGTTGATGGCCTCCTCGATACTGGCAGCGGCGACTGGTGGACTGTAATACTGTCAGGTCACCTAGTCCGTATATGATCGCGGGGGTGTATAGCATACGGAACGAAGATGGCAGTAGCGGAAGCTTGAGTCTCCTTCATGGCCTCTGCTACGCTCTTGAAGACGGGCAGTCCAAGGTGCTCAGTGCCCGCCTTCTTGGGGTTTGTTCCTCCAACAACTTTTGTGCCTGCCGTCCCGTCAGTCTCCCCCTCACAGGTTCATGTCAACAGAGCCGTTGGGCGCATACCGTATTCAATCGCTTGTTGTGCGTGGAAGCTGTTCCCGCATTAGCACCCCTTCCCATTACAGACTCTTCCAATCCCACTCACGTTCCCTGCTTTCCAGTGAAACCCTGGAACAGAACCTTGGTGTCGCTGTTGATACGAAGGTTCTTAATCGTCTCGGCGTATTGCGAGGAAGCGGTCGCATACTGCCTGGTAGCGGCCTTGGAGAGCGCAGAGCGCATCGGTTGCCGGATTGCCTGCATCGTGACTGGTATGGTGGTCACGAAAGCAACTCTGGGGTTTTTGGGGGGTATCGCGGGTCGGTTTAGTGATGGTTAGCGGTCTGAGCGAAGCTGCGACATAGCGGGAGTTCTTCGGGGAGCTTGGCCAATCTAAAATCTCGTGCCAGGGTCCGTCCGCGCCCGACAACTTCACGAAAATAACTCGTCCGCCTACAACCATTACGGGTGGGATGCAATTGATCGTGTACGGTATAGGAACAAAGTACTGGACTTTGAGATATTCTGTTCACAATGCGTGATTTGTATTCAAGTTGCGATTCTAACATTCAATCATGTTGCATCGCACGTTTCGCGATAGCAAGATGTTTGCAACAAGTACTCAACATAACCAGACTAACTGTGAATCCTCGCTTTCGCTTGTATATCTGCCATTGCTTCATTTACTCTTACTGTACATTTCTTGACGCACTGAGCTATGCGTTTGACCGATGATGGTAGGTTGTGTCTCCTAGTTGTCAACTCTACAGAGTCAGGATGTGGAACCGATGGTGCAGTACACGTAATGTGTCGTAAGGCGTATATAACTCTTAAATGTTCTACACGTTTTATACACAGCAGACGAAAATCTGCACTTAGTCGTTGAGCTTGCCGTAGAATGGGATTCCGATGGCTTGCAGTAGTAGACGTGCGTCCTTGTTGTTGGTGGCATCTGTTTGGATGGTGATGTGGCAACCAGGAATCATCTTGGGTGGGTACCTGAGACATGTCAGTCGAAACATTGATTGTGAAAGGAAGCAGACTCACGCATCGTAGTTGACCTCAATTTCCGGGAAGAGGGCTAGTTGATCTGGGGTAAGACCGAAGCTCATGTTGCCGTGTCCGTCTCCAGACGAACCTGGAACACCCTTCCACTCCTTGATTCTCGGCAGGACCACATCGACGAGTTTTGCCAGAAAGTGCTCGGCATCTTCCCGCTCCATCTTGGTTGTCACTGAGACATATCTGCCCGCACGCAACCCCCACCCTACGACGTTGTGCTTCGCCTTGTGCGATGTAGCTCGTACGTTGCTAATGGCCTGTAGGATCATACCAGCAACATGCAGGTTCCCACTGTTCTCCTGCGCTTCTGGTACCATGGAGTGAACTGTTACGCCTGTGATCTTGGGAACATTGCGGAAAGTGCGGGGCTCCTGGAGCAATCTGAGTACTTCACCCTTACCTCGTGGAGGTCGTAGGGGACGGTTCTTGAAGTACGGAGAGTCGCCCGTCCATTCTCGCAATCGTTGATCCGTCTTGGCAGCCCGGTAACCTGGAGGGTAGTGCTGGTATGTGAGGGTAAGGAGATCGGATGCGATCTTGCTCTGATATGTTTGCTCGAGGCGGGACAGACTGAAGGGTCCGGGTTGGAAGAGTCGCGAAGAGGGGTCAGACTCTGGAGGCGGCTGATGAGGGTGGAGAGGACCGCGGTAGTATTTGGGCGAACGGTATTGGTATCTGGTATCTATGAGGCCATGTTTCTATGGGTGTACTCTTTGAAGCTCATACCTGCTTGGCGGCAGCTGCTTGTTTCCTCTTCTCCGCAGTCTACTCCGTGCTACGGGGTCGTAGTTCTTTGCGAGTTCCTGCGATGGCGGTGGAATCTCTAATGACGATGCGTCTTCAATTTCTCGGACTGCTTCGGACGAGGCATTGCGGCAACACAGGGGCGCGGCCGCGCGGACGGCCGGTCTGGCGTTGTTCCGAATGACCGCGACCGTCCGGAGTGGTAGTTTGCGCAGCGCCATGGTTGTGTGATGCGACGTCGTGGTGGGTATAGACGTCAACAGCATGACCTACCAGTCTCGAACGGACTTTTCGACGGAATACGCTATACGCGAGACGCGAGAGCTGCAGGGATGGGCGGCGTCTAAGGTCCCCAACTAGCCAATAGGGCTACCCCACTCGTCCGCACCTGCCCTCTGCTCCAGGTCAGCTCGCGACATGCGGCTGATCGGGATCTGGGACATGTATCTTTCTTTTTGTCTCTTGGGTTGAGGTCATTGTCTTCTTCTGCCTCCTTGATTGCGCGTCATAGCTGCTCTTCACCGACAAATTCCATCTTCCACCAACCAAACACCTAACCACCCTCTCGCTTCCCCACCGACCACCGGGCTCAGGGCTCGTCTGCACCTTCCTCAACCACCACACCCCAAGCTCGCTGCCTACCCCGCTACCCACCTGGCTGCCTTCGTTCTTCCAGCGGCCGCGGACCCTCCACTGAATGGGTCTCACCTTCACCAACCACCACCATGAACGGCATGTCGCGGTTCCTCAGCCGGCGCGACAAACATCATGAAAAGCGCGCGTCCAAGCACGCCAGTACCAAAGTACGCCTGAGCTCTTTCGCCTCCGTCAACTCTCTCAGTCCTCTGCTGTGTTCTGCCGTCGCTACGGTGCCCCAAGACCCTCCCAGCTGCCAACAGCGGTTGTCTGCAGGCATCGAGACGCTGTATCATAAACTCCCATTTGTATTGCGAACGTCGGTAGAGGACAGTCTTCTATTTCTACACCAAAAGCTGCCGTGTTGCGCTTCTTCTCTTACCCCTAGCGTCGACCAAACCTCAACATCGCATTCTTCTGACTATGTACTTCTGCAGTCTAAATCCTCCAATGCTTCACCCGATCTCTACAAGATATTCACAAGCGAAGGTCCAAGACCGCCAGCGAACAATGAGGCCGAGAAGAAGGTACGCATGGGAACAAAGGCTTGGCGGAATCTTGTTGACGGGCGCAGGTCAAGATGCTCCTTTCGCGCTTACAAGGCGTTGGTATAACGAGCATGGGAGAGGAACAGGCCGAACATGCTCTCGCCTGGCATCCCAACGACATCGACAAAGCCTACGAACTTCTAGTGCTTGCCAACGAGTCACTCGAAGGTGAACTGAAGGATTACAGTCCAGATGTAACCATGTTGGGTGCCATAAACCGGAACATGGTGACATGTTACCTCGACGCATTGTTGTTCGCCATGTTCGCTCGTCTCGATAGCTTTGAAGCTATGTTATACGACAACTTTGAAGATGAGCCAAGGAAGAAGTTGGCGGCTGTCTTGCGCCTATGGGTCAACCTCCTGAGAAGTGGCCAGCTCATCAAGGTCGATTTGGTACGACCTATTTCGTCACCTTGCACGTTCACAACTAACGCACATTATAGACGAAGCATCTTCAAGACTCCCTCGCTAAGTGCGGATGGGAGGACGCTGCACAGGTTCGCCAACAAGACGCTTCGGAAGCTTTCACTTTCATTACTGGTGCGCTCGAGCTGCCGCTACTCACCCTCAAGATGGACATCTACCACACTGGACGTGAAGACAAAGAGGATGACCACAAGTTTGTCAACGAGCGGCTACTCGAAGTCGCCATACCAGAACAAGAGGGCGATCATGTTGTTACATTGGAAGATTGCCTGGAAACCTACTTTAACAACAGAATCGAGGTCAAGCGCTACCTGCAACGACAGAATACGATAGCTTCGATGAAGTCCACAGACGACGAATTCGTAGACAAGGACCCCGAGAAGAATGAGACCATCCATATTGAGACCATGGAGATGGAAGGCTCAATGACCCCCATCGTCTCGACGCCAATGACTTTCGAGCCCACCACACCAGTGACTCCAGTGCGGCCCCATCTAGAGGGTCGCCGCCGTGCTGATAGTATCTTCAGCCAGCGATATACACGCCAGTCACAAGATACGAGCAAGTTTGACGAAAAGAAGCATGTGGAAGACATGCTGGACAACAGCTCTGGTGGCCGACCACGATCAGCTTCTCTGCTTAAGAAGGAGATTCTAATGCCAGCTTGGCAGTTCTTCAGTCTCATACCCTGGTATACTGATAATGTTCCAAAGACGGACGCTCAGGTTGCTGCACACTTCTCAGTTAAGCGTCCGGTGCTCGGCATATGCCTGAAAAGATACACGATGACGCCGAATGGCGCTCCGAAACGCCTCAACACCTACATCGACATCCCGCTCGACATTGGGTTGCCTCACTTCATCTCCGATGAGAGGATGAAAGAGGAGGGTCCACTGTTTGGCAATTTCAAGCTCGTTCTCCAGTCTGTCGTATGCCATCGAGGTGTGTCGGTCGATTCTGGGCATTATATCGCGCTTGTCCGTGCCAACGCTCGCGAACGTCCAGGCACCGCGCAATCGGATTCTGAGCAAGAGCAGGAAAAGTGGATACGCTTTGATGATCTTTCATCTCAACGAGTGACTGAAGTCGACATCAAGACAGCTTTGCGAGAAGAGTCACCATATCTGCTCTTCTACCAGGTACAACCCATTGACGAAGAACTTGCTTCCCGAGGAGATCCTCCAACCTATGCAGAAGCGCAGTCCCGAGTTCCTTCGGTAGATCCTTCACAAGAAACGCTGTCTTCCCCGCCTTCTACGACAGCAACAGATGCCGAAGCTGGTGGAAACAGTGAAAATGTCAACACGACAGATACGCGTACCGAATCCAATTCCACAGATGAACCGGCTAGTCGAACTAGTATGTCTAGCAATCGCCGTAGCAGTACTGTGATCGAAGACGGCGAAGGCAGCTTACGCGGCCGAACCGAACCGCTAACGCCGGAGGATCAGAAGAGCAGCTTCTTGTCTGTGTCTCGGCGCGGCTCTCGGATATGGCTGTCCGGGAACAACAGAAGCCGGCCAGGTAGTCCAAGCGGCGAGACTCGTCTGTCTCTTACTCTATCGAGGCTAACGGGACGCGGTAGCAAGGACAAGCTGGTTACGACCGAAGCTGGCACCAGCGACGAGCCTACAATTGTGATTGACAAAGTGAAGAGCGCAGAGAATGATCAGCAGGACCACTCTCCAGCCAAAGAGAAGAAAGAATCCGGTCTCGGGCGCAGCAAGAGCAAGAAGGAGAAAAAGGATAGACGGAGAAGTAAGAGCAGAGAGCCTGGTGCAGTTCCAGAGAAAGGCAAGCACAAGGACAGACCGGATCGCGAATGCCTGGTGATGTGAGGAGGTCAGGGTTTGTACACATGTGGGAGGACCATCCCTGGTTTTGTTGTTTGTTTGTTTGTTTGCTTGCATCGCATATCGCCTCGACACCATTCCATTACTGGGTGTTCACGAAACCGGCGGAGGAGTTTTTTGAATCATTAGCGCGGCGTTATTGGAACATAAGAGTATCGCTTGATGTTGGATTTGCGACAGGGCATATGCATATTGGATTACTATAGATGAGATACCCTGAAATGGAACGGCTGGAACAAACAAGTGAAAGCTTCCGCTGTAGATCTACGCACCTTGCATAGTCTGTGATGCGCACCAAAACCTCTCTGTTGCGCCTGGTACCATGTGTTCAGAGAAGGCATTAGATAAGACTAGAAGAGTGAATGCCTGTTGGGGCTAGCCAGCGGCGGGCAACAACCTGGCCTCTTGGGTCGGCACGCTAATGATGACCCTCGCCCACCACAAAAGTCGCCCGCTTGTTCCCTTACCCTCTTACCCACGTTCCGCGCAACCACATCTCTATCTCCAGCCTCCTGTTATACGATCGCAAAAGCGAGCTTCAATTCTTCGCTCGAATAACCCGCTTCAACCATCACAATGGCGATTAGCCCGCAAATGTACGCCGAACCTACCGCCGAGGTCTTGTAGACAGTTTGCTAATTCCATTACAGTTCCAACCTGGTTATTATCCTGGGATTTATGCAAATATCGAAAAAGATACCTTTCGATAACGAGAATGTCCTCAACGGCGTGCGTGCGCTCTACATCGTCTCCAACCTGATCATCGCGGGTATCTACCTCTACGTCCAGGCACAAATCAACAAGAAGAATGGTGCGTCAAAAGAAGCCCAGTAGTCCCACATACCATCGCAGCGGCTAATACAGCGCAGACATGACGGTCGTCAAGTACGTCGAGCCCGCCCCGATGGGCTCCGGCGAGGAACCAAAGTTTGTCGCTACCACAGTCAAGGCCTACGATCTCCAGAAGCTGCGCGAGCTCTTCAAGGCCCAGATGATGGGTGTCGGCATGATGGGCGTTATGCACCTTTACTTCAAGTACACAAACCCGCTCCTCATCCAGTCTATCATCCCTCTCAAGGGCGCTTTCGAAGGCAACCTCGTCAAGGTCCACCTCTTCGGCCAGCCCGCAACTGGCGACCTTGCTAGGCCATGGAAGGCGTCTGGCGGTATGATGGGCGCCATGGGTGGTGGCGAGATTAAGACGGATAAGAAAAGCATCGAGGCTGCCGAGCGTGCTGGCCGCGGTGGTGTCAAGGACGAGTAGATGGGCTCTCTCGTGCCTTTTATGGGTTCGTATGCAGGGAGTTTGCATAAGAACTGGATTTCTTGATGGGACATACCCGGTTCGCCGGATTTATGGGCGTGGTTGAGCGACTCATGCGCCTGCTAATTGTATAACATGGACGTTTTATGCTGTGGCTGTCCTTCATTTGCTATACTTAATCTTTCTCAAAGTGATGTACAACGATTTCCACTCTTAGGGCACAGCCCTAAAACTACCCTATCCAGAAAAAACCAACCCTCTTCTATGTTCGGTCTATAAAACTCCAATTCCATAACCAACCCTAGGCTCCATACCAACCGGTACACCCCTAATCACCCTAATCATCATGTTGCGCAGACCTCCAACAAACGCCGTATTAAACATAGTATAGGGCCAAGAAGTATGATGAAAGAAGCGTGTCGAGTCCGTGTCCAACTCGTATCAAAAGCATAAAATGATAGTAAAAGATTTATCGATGAGAAACATCCAGTTGTTGATATCATTGGATAGTGGATTGGGTGATGCAGAAGTAGTCGTCATCTATTGTTGTATGGTCGATTGCCATCGAGGATTAAGTGAGAGGGACTGGAGTATTGGATTCTCGGCGGTTCGTGTGGCATGCGTATTGGCAAGCGTTTTTTTCTCAATGTTCGTGGAGGTTCAGAATGTTATGGTCGTTATTGATTCATTTCCTCGCCTCCAACTCACCCAAGCCACTGAGGAAAATAGCCGTCTTGTAACGGCATTGCAGCAGGCTCGTTTTCGTAGTTGAAAGGATCTCCCCAGAAGCCCTGCCTTGGTTAGCTAGACACACTCATTGACCTGGTTATATCACGTCACTTACAAAGTCGAAGTCGGGAACCACATCAGTGCTGGCTTGTACATCGCCTACGATGTTGTTGATGTTGCTGAGATTAATGTCATCCCAACACGGTGCACGATCCTGAATGGACTGCATTGATTGTAACAAGTCTGGCTGGGATTGCATTGGCTCCGGTTGGGATGGTCCCGGCATTGCTTGTTGATCATAAGCTGCAGAGGTGTTTTGGAAGGCGTAGCTTGGGATCGCTTGCATTGCTGGATATACGCCTGTGTTACTGTTCGATGCGTTGCTCATCGCCACGGGTACAGATGGCACCATAGGTTGGCTGATATAGTGGCCCGTAGGCTGCGACTGGCCCCTTGGGGAGAGATTATGCTCAGATACGGCTTTGTCGATCATGTTTTTCACAGCTTGCCATGCTTTGGCGCTGTTGTTCTCCCGAAGTATTCGAGACATCTGTAAAGCTCTAAGGGCGCGTTGTCGATCGGGCGCGTCGAAGAGAGGGTTGCGAAGTTCAGATAGGATATGCATGATGGCCTGGAAGGAAGCGATCCCACCTTTAGAAGTTAGCTTATGTGTTTAAGGGTACCGGCGTTACTGACCAATGTGCCATTGGAAGCGAGCGGCGTCGACATCTGCGGCCGCTCCGTTTAGTGTTTCTACACAGTTGACTGATTTTTCAAAGATCCTAGCACCATCAGTCAGTTTTATTTGTTGAAGTTGGACCTTGTGCTGTGGAGGTACGTACGAACGCCGAATCTCATCTGAGAAGACTACATCACGGTAAGCACGCGGCATTCGAAGCCAAAACAGCAGATAAGCGCGCCACTCCAGAAGAGAAGCCAGTCCCAACGTCAGCCTCTCCATCGGTACCTCAGGAGTAAGATAATGCAGATATTTTCTTTGATTCTCTTCGTGAACTTCATCAAGCATGACCTTGATCTGTTCGTATAGATCTCTGAGTTCCTGTGCAGGATCAGGACGAGATGTTCCATGGAGCCCGGAGTCGAGCATACGTCTTTCGAGGCGGTAGGTACTCTGGACTATCCGCCGTAGGGCTCGCATGCCGTTAAAGCGAACCAGCTGGAACGTCATTGAGGTAAACTTCTGTTCGTCATACGGGGCCGGACCAGGACTTGCGCCGTCTACGAGGTCCTCATCATCGATGTTGCGTGGAAATAGTGTAGTGTAAAAGTCTTCGGTGATGCTCGGTTCCTGCCCTTTGCATTCTGCAGCCCTGAACTCCAAATGGCCTAGCTGATGCCACATGCGACGACGTAGCTCGATAGTTAAAGCGTCCATAGAGCCGGTTGGAAACAAAGACGGATCTCGGTGCAGACCCTGGTTCAGAGCGATGCGGAATGCAATGCCAATCAAAACCCACGCTTTGCCTACTATGCATGTGAGCGTTTTCAACATATAACTATCTAGGGCGCTTACCCATATCCTCTTCCCTGGTAATACAGGTCAGCCACAGCACGAACCCCTGGAATATCTCCAGGCTTGATGTCGTGAGATAATTTTCCCGAGCAAGCGAGATCTCAACACCCAGCTGAAATCGATCGAGGAGTGATTCCTTGGTCTCACCAAACTTGTTGTGTACTACCTTTGGAGGCAGAGAGTTGATAGCAGAGAAATAGATGGCATAGGCGAGAGGATGTGCTTCGCTATTATAGGTGGAAAACTTGCGGACCACTGTTGGTCTATGGGTGATCCTCACCATTGGGTCTACGTTCGCGAAATAGACGTCGAGGAGCGTATCACGATGCTCTTGGGTGTTGGGCAGTAGGTTTTCTAGATCTGATCCTGCTCCTGCACGACCAAGGGAGAGTAGATCGACCAGACTGTTTTGCGGTACTTCCTTTCTCTCTTCATCGGTTTTGTCGCCAAGCAAAGCCTTGATGTCTTGAATCTAATATTGCATCAGCCTTGCTCTGAGATTGGAAACTCATAAAAACACAAAAGGATGAGACTGGCTCTTGTTCTGTATATACCAGATCCATGGCTTCTTACGCGAAAAAGCGAGACTTCAGGAAGCGACACTCACCTCATCAGCGAGCAATGCGAAATGCAGAGACGAAACAAACTGAGACTGTCCGTCATTCAACAACAGGGTCCCATCGCCGCCATCGGAAGCTATTCCTCCTCCATGTGAAGTTTGGCTATTCGACGATGGGGTCAGCGCTTCCGCCTCCTTCCTGTCAAATTCAACACTGGACCGTACGGATGTCGTGGATTTCGCCCCCTGTCCTGCAACGGCTCTTTCTAAAAGGTACTCCAGTCTGTCTAACCGGGCCTGCACGTCACTGCCTTTTCCGATCTTTCCATTGTTGCTTGCGGCCGTAGGTTTCGAAATCCTTCCAGTAGTGGTAGAAGCCGGTATCTGATCTGTCCAAGTACACACATGGCTTCCTCGTGTGCAAGAACCACAGACTGGATGAACATGATCACACTTGACCTTCCTGCGCCGACACGTCAAGCATGACGAAATGACGCGGTGCCGCCCTCCACTGGGTTTGCTTGTTGAACCTGGCGAATTAGACGATGTGCCAGTCTTCGTTTCCACCATGCTCGGGTAAGGTTTGTAACAGTCTGCATACGAGACTTGAAGTTTTCAACAATGTGGATCGGTCGCCGGGGGAGAAATGGCTCCGTCACACACTGAAGTTCGTTGCGATTCTCGCCCCACTAGCTGAACGGGCCGCCGTTACCCGTTTCGGCCTTAGTGGCGATCAACCTTGCTCGCAAAATGATTCGCCGAAACTTTGACATCAGACACCTCGGTACATAGAAGAGCCCCATAGGCCGGATATAATCCACTGTCTTTAGGGTTTGTTCACGAGCCTTGTGTCGTCATGGTATCACATGCCAATGTACTGCCTCATTCTTGTCGAACAGCTTGGGAAGAGGGTAGAAATTACACACTGCAGTTTGAGTTAGGTTAGTAAGGGGGCGGCATATTACCATTGGGCGTAGTAATAAATCGCTATCAGTCGGAGAATCTGATAGTGGACTTCGAAGAATCTCGCAGGTATTTCATCTGTTCCAACCAATACTTTTCCCAACACAATCCAAAGCAGCAGCGGATTGTTTCTGCACAGTCTTACTTTCTGTGTCCTTACCATGACCGACTGTTCTTGCTGTAGTTGTCAAGTTCTCCTGGTTGTTCATTATGTTAGAAGATTGTGTCCGACACACAGCCTTGTTTTGCCTTATCGCAGCCTACCCAGACAATCAGACCTGCCAGCCAGATGACATTGCAGTGCTTGCTGTCCACTGACAACTAACACAGCCCGATAGACGATCCCAGAGGTCGCAATCCTGGAAAGATATGGGATTGCAGGAATATGAACTGTCTTGAGATCGAAAGAGAGAAGCCGAACTGATCACAGGCGGCGTAAGAGAAGGTCCAAGTGATTCCTACACTGAGCCAAACCTCTTCCTCGATACTAATGAAGAACAGTGCGGGCATCGATGAAGGAGAGGTCTCCAGACGCGCGATTATTGGCTATGATTACACGGCTAACGACGAGGACGAAGTTACCCTCAAGTTATATGTGCCTTTGTAACAAGTCGAGTTTCGCAATACGACCCCCAGGCACTGCTTACGGTCAGCTTCAGTTGCATTCTTGCGATCTCACCCTGTTCAGCCCCCATTCTCACTGAAGCAATTTTAATGCAGGCAAACCTACCTGGGTTGTCACAGTTTGCCTGCGGTTGAGAACCAGTGCGACGGGTTTGTGTCGTTTATGCCTCGCGTCAAGCCACGCTCCACGCCCGTTTGTAACAATGCATCTTATCTTAGCCCAGCGCTTTGCCTCGTTACATTGTGGTGGGACCTTCTGTTGCGTATCAAAACCCACGTTTTGCAACATTGCTCGAAGATGCTAAGCAACGATCTAGCGTTACCCTCCCACGAGGCTCCTGTATAGAGATCTGGATCAAGATCCGTTCAACGACCTTGAGCACCATCAGCGCCACTCATAGCATGATGTCGAAACTCACTACACATGAAAATCTACCAGAGCGTTGTTGCGAAGGTGGCCTTCATCCTGTCGAAGAAGGTCTACATGTCATGGAACACGAGGGTGAGGGGAAGGAAGCCTGGGTGCACCAACGCGTGGTCATGAACAATCCCACAACGGAGAAACATCAGTCGCAATATATCGGAGGCTTGAAGAGAAGGCTTTTCTGGTTCATACTTGTCCTCGCAAGCCTCGTCGTGATCGGCGCGTCTGTAGGTGGAGCTGTAGGGGGCTCGCTAGCAGCGAAAGAGAGCAGCGACGGTATCTTGCAGTCGTCATCTGTTCAGAGGTAAGCAGCCCGAACCTGGATGCATCTTATCAGTGTGTGTCTAATATATTCGCAGCTCGCTTCCGTCCTGCACAGGAGCTTCGAGTGATGCAACATCCTCCCAACCCACTGGCTCACCCTCCTCTTTTGTAACCACCGACTGCCCATCCAGCAACAACACATCTTTCACGCCCAGAACACCCGGTGGCAACCCAGGACAATACAACTTCACCAAGCATTGCGGATTTGACACTGATGGGCGAGACCTCATCGAAGCTTTCGTCCTAGACCTGGATACTTGCCTCGCGCTTTGTTCGAACTAGAACTACATACACAACAGGAGGAGACAGGTGTACTTCAGCGTCGTTCTATGCTGATGGAAGATCACCGGGGAACTGCTGGGCGAAAACAGGGACAGGGTTGAAGCAGAAAGATGAGATGGCCGCTGCTTTGATACAATGAGGGGGCTAGGGAAGGTACACGACGATGATTGGCGTATACGAGATGTACAGTGGGGAGGAGAATGCGGAGGTCGGAAGTATTCTGTACTCCAGGATAAAGCTTGCTAGCACACTCTAGAGTGGCCTTTGCGCGTTGTGCTTTTGGAGTTTCGGAAATTGCGTATATCGATAAGTTACCATGACAGCAGAATTGAGTTTGTAAACACATGTCGTGTTGTACAAGACTGTGCGACGAAGAGACATGTCGCTGGCGGAAACGTGGTTTAAGTGGATCCCGAAGTCGTCCCGTCGCGTTGTCGCGTTCAGGTGACAGGTGCACGCTAGATAAGCGAAGACGCCGAAAGCCTCCCTCTTTTCCACCCAATCGTGGACCTATCGCCGTCTGCATGCACTTCGTCACACGTCACTGGTGTGATTGCAGCTCGTTTCGTCGCCTGCTCGCTCTTAGTGGTTCATGCTGAACCGCCAGGGCTTCCTTTCGCGGCGAGGCTGGGCCTAGATAGCAGCAAAGCTTGCTTTCGCCATGCTGCCGTCCTTGCTGAGAGCTTGCCCACAAACTCCTCCAGATCGTCCAGTCGATTCTTCCAAGGCTATAAACACTATCGGCCCCGCTGCAGCTTTGTCCGAAGCTGATCTGAGATGAGACTGCGGGAAGGGATAGCAGCATAGACTACCAAGAGGCTTCACCGCTGGCAGGATCAACATTGAGCGCATACCAGACGGGCAACATGCTCGCTCTTTGTTGAGATGGCGACTTTATCTCCCGGTGCGTGTGAGCATTGGAGCTATTGGCATATAGCGCGCTGACCGAGTCGCATCCATAGATGTCCGCTATTCTACTCTCAAATCGCTCAAGCTCACCTGCCCCTCCGCCGAAGTGATCGAAGAACCACAATCTGTATCGACCATTGAATCGCCTGTTATGGAGCAACAAGGCTACCCATTCCCCGAAGTTGGAGACGAATGGTCGGACGAGGAGGTCCTGATCCCCAGGCATAGACGGAAGGCGCCATATATACCACCACTAAAGTTCGAGAAAGTTACCGCTACATCAGCCGAAGACACATCGTCTGATGAGTCTTCAGCATCACCTCGCCCGCACCAACTAAGCGCGACTATCAGCCCCCTCGTACCACCGAAAAGTCCATCGCGACCGGACGCGTCGAGGGGTAATAGTCAAGATGATCTCATACAGCGGTACTATCATGTCACAAAAGAACGAGATGCGCTGAGGAAAGAGCTACAAAGGAGGAGCATGGGTCCGCATGGGTTACCCGCGAAACGTACGGTCCTGTACAAGTCGGAAGAAAATACTTTGGTTGAAGAGCTCCACGCGCTGCGATATGAGATCCGGATATGGAGCGAGGAGTATTTTGGTGGGCCTATCAAGGCCACGAGCAAGCGACCGCATCTTCACAGAGCAAAGGAGCTGTTTGGGAACCTTACAGACAACTATCAGATGTATCTGAAGGATCCGGAGGAACGACCACTTCTCATACAGGCGTACGTGTGGATGAAGCTGCAACAGAAGATCTTCAACAATTGGCAGAAAGGCAGCGGATACATCTGGGCAGGCAAATTGGGAGATAGGAAGCTGCGTGAGATCAACGACACGTTGCGCAAGGGTATAGTCCCCTATGTGCCTCAACCCTCTTGTAAATGCAAACGCTAACAATGCACAGCTGTCAAGAACGAGGCCGAGGCCGAAGAGTACCACCAATGGCGCGCCATGACCGTAAACCTCCTGGTTCCTCAAGTAGACGGCAAATGGCGTCCCACTTTCGATGCTGCTCCCGTCTTAAAACGAATATCCCGTTTCTGCAGTCGCATGCGTCGCAAACTGCGGCCCTGGTCTACACACTCCTTGCGTAAAGGGAAGGAACAACTGGGAACAATCATATCAGCGTCTGTTGCATTAGACTTGAAGATGAAGCGCCAGCTTGCCGACTATCGATTTGTTACATTTACTGGCGGCAAGAAGGACCAATACTGGGGCTATGGATTCTATGACAGCGAAATGGAAGACGTATATGAAGATGATGACGAAAATAGCAGCGGCGGGTATGGAGTCAACGGCAGCGCAAAGGGCAGAAGAGTAGAACTGGCACTTGCGCCTGCACTCGAACGATGCGGTAATGCTAATGGACATGTCTTTGATCAAAGTTTCATGATGGTAAAGGCGGATGTGAGCTGTAAGAGACTGGAGAAGCCGAAGAAAGAGAAGAAACAACAGCCTAGGTCAAGAGGGGGTGACAGCAAGGGCTTCTCGCTGCGCACATGGAAGTAGAATTAATGGAAGTATGAGATGAATAGTAACACACCACTCTGCTTTGAACTGCACTTTCCCCAATTTGTTTAGTATCTCGAGATGTTTATCCAATCATGAAGCAACGCTTACGAGTGGTTAGTCAATTACAGCAGATGTTCTATATTGTACTGTGGCTCGGTTCTATCACCTCGATACCCTCGAGATCCTTGGTGACCTTACATACATTGTTGTTGCTTTAGTGCTGGGCCTACTTCTCCCTACTACTTGAATAGCCCTGTTCAGCCCCATTGGCTTTTCACGATTTGACAACCCAACATGAGAATGGCAAAGATCGCCTGCTTCCGCACATAGCCGAGTCTGGTAGCTTAGAACGACGGGAATTCTGGTGAACGTCGGTTCTTACTGCTGCCTAGACGTAACCGATTGTGTGTCTCGCATAGACTCTCACTGGTCAAAATAGCGCGCGACTATCAAATTGCATCAGAGATTCTCCTCAGACTAATAGCAGCATCAACCTTGATTTCATTCTCAATATTCAACGCTCGCTTTTCGAGCACACGATCACAAAGCAAGTCTTGACCTCGAGATCATGGACAACCTTGCGAAATGCTCAGAACCAACATCTCCTTTATCCAACAACAAAGTAGTCCAGCCATTCCGGCTACTCGATCTCCCTACTGAGCTACGCCTCATGATATACGAGCGTCTCAATGAGTGCTTTACTTCCATATATGTATCGTTGCTAACCCTCAAGTAGTCACAGTCGAGTATCCCAGTTCCGATGGTCGAATCTCCTCTCCCCGAACGACTCGGATCCGGATACAGATTGATCGAGCTATAGTTGGCACTTGTCGCGCTGTCAATGTCGAAGCAGGACCTGTGGTAAAGCGGCTGTTCGAGCAGGCGCAACCCGTGAGTGTGCGCCAGGTGGCTGAAGAACATGGTTGGGATCCTTTAGAGGGCGATGTAATTCACATTGAACGCTCGTGGCGTGATCTGGTTACTTTTACTACCGTTGATGTCCAGGTGCTTGCGATGCTGGCATAGTGTATAAGGTCTCGCCGGCGCTAGATCAGACTATTTAATAGTACAGGAAAGGTTTACCGATACTTGCACAATTGATAATCATTGGCATGGGCGTTGTGACATACAGTCGAGCTAAATTCAGCTCGATGGGAAGTCGTGTATAATGCGGTGAGTATCACATATTTGCATACTCTTGTGTTTTGGTATTAAAAATGTATATACAGTCTACTCCGCCTTAGGCACAACGTGAACTTCCCAGTTAGCGCCATGCGGGCCCTTGACCGTTTCACGTGGTGTGACACGATGGAAAGGTCCTTCATCATTTGTAACACCGCTCTCCAGAACGCCCTTCTTCTCACCTGTTCGCAGGTACTCTAGGAAGGCGACCGATGTGTCGATGTACTCGTGAAGCGCGTCCTTGCTGTTGAGCGTTGTACCAGTGACTAACTTCATAATCCAAGGAACGATCAGAGGCGCATCGGTACAAGACGGATGAGCGGTGCCCATCAAGGTCATGAACCATCCCACCTTCACGTTTTCGATGATGCCCTTCACAACATTGAAGTGCCATCCCTGTCCGTAGAAATCCGTTTGCTTCTCTGTCCATTCACCGCTCTGCATTACAAGTACTGGTACATCGATGTCTTTGTTCAGCGGTCCGGACCCCTTTCCAGGGTCTAACGCAACGCCGCCGTTGATGGGCATTGCCTTTGAGCCAGCAGATTTGAGTGCTTGCATCACGCCTGTAGCGCCGTATGAGTGGCCTCCGACTGTGACTGCAGACAAGTTGAGACGGTTCTTGAAACCAGGTAGGGCGTTCCGCGGTGAATCAGGCTTGAGGTTCACGACTGGTGCGTCACCAGCGTTGAGTTGCGCGAAGAGCTTGATGGTTTCGCTGATCTCGGCTTCGCGGAAGTTGAGTTGTGCAGCCTTAAGATCTAGGTCAGTCATTGGCGGGTCGACTGCAAGGTCCTCGAGTTTCAGGTGCCAAACTTTCCGCTCCGTCCCATCAGGATAGTGCACGATAGTACCGGGTCCGCTTCCGTCGCGGTGTTCGACAGCAGCGACAACATAGCCGTAACTTGCGATACTTCCGAGGTAGTGGGCATAACTCTGGCTCATTCCAGCCATTCCATGTGTAAATACCAGGCATGGCAACCCCGAGATCACTACCGCGTTTCAATTCCTGATGCTCCTCCTCTGCTGCGCTCATGATCTTTCCGAAGCTGCCTGCACCACTGCCATCTTCGCCCAATATCTGCTCAGCGCCGGAAAGTATGGGTGCATCAACGACACCTGGGATGACCGTGCTTGAACCAAGGAGCCAGAGAGCAAACGTGAAAACCGAAGACAGTTTCGATACACCGGCAAGCCGAGCATATCCCTCGCCAATGAGCGAAACCGGTTGGGGCAGCCATGGTCGTGCCCATAGTCGCTGACTAGGCGACGCCAGAGGCAGAGAAGATGGGTAGTATAAAGTGATGGCCAATGTATTGAGTTCGAAAGTCTTCTCCCCAGTTGCCTTCAGTACAGCATCATGAATCGTTCTCTTTTGGACCTCTGTCTCAACATCCAGTATGCCAACCTCATGCGGTCCTGTGTAAGGCGGAAGTGGTGAGGTGATTGGGGCCAAGCTGAAGAAGAGAACGCCAAAAAGTACACCTGCCGATGCGATGAACAAAAGACGCCGCGGTGTGAGACGGGCGGGCGGGGGTGCTAGGCGGGCCATCCGGAAGACCATGATGAGCGGCTTGGATCACAGTTCACTACAAAGACGGAAGGGAGCGGGAAAGGTCTGAGAAGGGCTGTGATATGTAGCCAGGAGTGGTATGTCAGGTTCTGAGATCTACAAGGTAGCACGCGAGTTCGACATGGTAATTGTGGTGTAAGGAAGAAATATGTCGCGCTGTGAAAGTGTTGGCAACAGATGACGTAGGCGACATCGGAGATAAGAAAGCCCAGATGGCAATTGGGTGACACTCCCATCTTCGATGAACAAACACCTACAATACATTTCGTCAAGAGCTGATGTGTTACCACCACGCCTGCGATTATATCCTTTCTCTCAATCTTGTCAATTGAGACTTTGTTCTTCAAACTTCGATTAGGAATGGACCGACGATCCGGACGAGGGCGACAAATGCTAATGTCTACACAAGAGCTGCAGTAGGTTTCTGCCTGTCCCTTACCTTGAAACTCGTTACATGAGAAGAGTAGTAAGATATATCAGATTAGATCTTGCTGAGATAGGGATATAGACGAAGCTGAGGCTGTGAGCCGTTATCGAACATGACGAATGAGCACGACGTCAAGCCCATGCAGCAGCCTAGTACTAAAGCAGATATCAGACAGAACTCCCTGTTTGCAGTATTAATTCAGGAGGTCTACATGATAGCTTAATGTGCAGATTTAACAGACTTAACATATTTGTATCGCCAAATCGTTTAGTTTCGTTGCATTCTCACCCTACGTCCGACTAGATAACTGGCTAATCCAAATCACAAATACTCGGACTTTGAAATTAGATCCTTGATGTATTATCTAACTGCCCTCCGGTAGCTCAACGCGTGGTTATCACAGGAGCTGTACCAAGCAGGGTCAGCGTGTACCTCAATGTCAATTTCAACAGGTAGTCACGGACGCAAATGGAGGTTACTGAAAAGAGCATGGTCATTGTGGCATTCCTAGAAGAAGACACTGCATCATATCCAATGCAAGACAAAGTCCCTACTCTACCGGAGAAACACATCGAGAACGCAGCGTCCGTCAATCGAAAAAAATCTAGTCGGCGAAGTCCAGACACCTCGCATAGGCTGAATGAATGCCTCAGGCATCTTCACGATGGTTCCACCGCATATGAAATAGCGTTTTGAATGACATTCAGCCTGGTCACAACATCTCTTTCTGGCCGATCAACGCTCTTCTACCCTCAATCCGTCACGATATCTGTCCAAGATCGTGAAATGTGCATGTACACATCCTCGCTTACCGATGGGTATGAAGTACATAAAACACAAGTCCCATGCACGAGCACAGCCGGCATTGCTTCAGGCACGTTCAGCGGCCCGGATAATTCCAAACGACTTGTCTATTACCCGAGCCACACACTATCTGCGCCTTGGTCCTCAACAGGGTCTATAATGAACGTGCCGCTCCGCGTGTAGGCCCCTGGTATTTGACTTGCATATGGCCAGGATTCTTGAAGTCTTTTACCCGGACGATCTTGTTCGGTTCGGCATCCCTATGGATTTGCGCGCGGTCAGTTCCCGGTTTCGAATGAGGGACGTCTTGGTTCCTGCATGTTTAATCTGTTGGTATTGGGCGCGGTTGGTTGCGTGTAGAGGCACAACGCAGTCAGACGAGCGCATTGATCGTACCTAGGTAGGCAGAAGTTTGTCGCAGTACGCGCTCTCTCAATGAACACTTTGGTGGAGCTGCCATGTGGGTGTAGAGTGGAGCATTCCCGGTCTTTTTTCTATTCCAGTACCCTTAATATTACTATCCCAACAATAAGAACATGCTGTCTAGCAGATCAGTATGTGCGCTCTGCTGCTCGCTTCCCCAGATTCTGCGAGCCGCGGATATGTTGGCTAGCATGATACAGGGTTGGGACCTTGACATCGTGGCCATCATAACCAGTTTCAACATGCTTTCCGAAACCGTCGCGTTCTTGCAACTGCCTATCTGATCGATCCGATGGCTTCCAAAACAGTCAAAAGGTCGTTAGATGGCTAGATGCAACCGACCCACCAACAAACAACTCGCCTCCGATATCAACACGAACCATCTCCACCACCAGTTTGTCAGTCAGCCATTCGGTACCATGGCACCGGTCTCTTTGGGCGACTTCATTGCGAAAACCTCGCCTCGACAGGTCGGCTCCGTATCCATTTGAGATAACAAACCCACTTGTTTACATCCATTTCAGGACGATGCGCAGCGTCTAACCACATGGGCTTATACGCTGCAGGCGCCGCAATCAAATGAGCGTTGTGTCAATCTGCACTATTTCGTAGCCAGATATGTTTTGCGGGTAGTAGCACGGCATTGATGAATAGCACGCGACAAAAGCCTGGCGAAAGCGTCCCGCTGCCCCGTTCCTGACACACTAGTTTCTGCTATTGTTTTACTCTCCTAGTAAAACGTCGAATTAGCCGGACTGTACTGCACGTCCCTTCGCGGCTATGCGAAGCTCTTGTGCTCTTCATCTATACTTGCGCGCGTTGGTGTTGATGACACGACATCGCGTCGCGTCGTAGTTTTTTCAGCTCATGTAATCATGTTCGTGGCGTTCATACGACGATAATGCTTTTCCCTGTATTTCCAATCAGCCTGCCCGTACTAAGCCAACGGCGCGGGCGGGTGTGTTCATGCAGGGCAAGCCTGCGAATCTGAGGATGAGCTGCCGTGTGGATCGTCAGGGTCGGACCTGTGGATCGTTGAGAAGGTAGCAAAGTGAGGCACAAGGACTCGCGCAGGCTGGGGGAATGCGCCATGTACCTGCGTGGCTCAAAGCGAGGACCATATAATCGGTCAACTTATTTCAAGCCGCGAAATGCAGCCGAGTATAGGTCAATCATTAAGCAAAGGCGAAGAAGACCATGAAATTGGTTGTGTTATCATCTTGATTTGTTTGTATTGCAATGCTCGCAAGCATCTTTCGAAAGAGGAACGAGATCGAAACCAACAATCATCTCATGTGGTGATTCCAAAACCAGATGGTGATTATTTTTCGCGCTCTTCGCGATAGGTCATTCTCCTTCTGAACATAGGAGACGATTGATGTGCAAATGGTGTAAGACAGATCTATGTAATGAGACAAAGGTGCGCCGACGAAATGCACATGAGCGAGCTGATAGAAAGCTGACGCAAAGAAAACTGAAATGCGCGAGACTAAGTGAAACTCCTCCGACTTTTAGCCTTCCGTTGACAACGAGACTGAAAGTAGACAGACAAGATAGGAAAGAACATGACTCGTCAATATATACACTGAATGCAATGTTGTGTCGTTGTTAACATGACATGAAGCATAGCCAGCCATGCTTCAGAAGCCTCCCGGGCTTAGTGTAGAGAGACGCTGCTCGTGAAGCTATTATTAAGGGCGCCGTGGTGATGGGTTGTTGATGATGGTGTTTGGATTTTACAATTGCGAAGTAGTGGATGTGTTGCGTGGTGGTACTGGGAAGAGGCTCAGCATGGGGGAGCGCGCCTGCGCTGTGGTCGCTGAGCGATTGCGTAGCTTGGCTGATGAGTCTTCTTTAGGTACAGAAACGGAAAGCAGCTTGGCAGCACCGTCAGACAGGGCTTGTTTGTGCTGGCGTGCTGAAGTACGAGCGGAGCGTGGTGACCCTTGACGCGCAAGATCGAGCGATGACTTGAGCTCTTCTTCGACGGTGGGATGATTGGTACGCTGCGAGCCACGTCGAGCCAGATCAAGCGAGGCCCTGAGCTCAGTCTCTATGGAGCTGCGAGATTGCTCCTCATCTTGTGGCGCTTCGTCATCTGAAGCGAAAAATGTTCGCCCTTCCAAAGTACGCCCTGGCGGCGTAACGTCATCGTCTTCTTTGTCTTCGTTGAGAAATGCGATCTGCTCCGATAATTGATCGCCTGCCAGACTAAAGCCAAGCGACTTTCGGCTACGACGGGAAGGGATCAATTCTGGTACACTTCCTGCAGAACTTGCCGAGCGCCGTACAGGGGAGCTCCAAAGGCCAGAGCTCTGGACAGAGGACATGAGGCTACTATCATAGGAGCTTCGTCTACTAAGTCGGACGTGACTACTACGCGCCGAGCTAGTCGCGCTTCGGCTCGCGTCAAGCATTGGAAAATGCCGATCGGACCCAGCGTACTCGTCAAGCAAGTCCTCGTAAGTGACTTCTCTGGTATCCTTGTATTCTTGGGGGACAAGGAGGGAAGGGCTTAGTATGAATCCAGTGTCGCCGCTGAAGCGGTTGGCATTGAAGAATCCCGATGGTGTTGGTGGCAGTCCAGTACCCATGGTAGATGTGGATATCGCAGAAGTTGGGACTAGCTCTGGCACACTTCCTGTGCTGGGAACGAGTAGAGACGAGCGGAAATTGTCAGAAGCGAAGCGCTCTCTATCAGCGGGCGTGATTCTTAGGTTGTCGTTATTCGCTTGCTCCGCAGAAGGTGTTTCGCAACAGCGAACACCATCATCAGATGCACGATCCCATTCGAAGTCACAGTCAGCTTCGAGGGCGTTGTCATAAATATAGTCAACGTCCTCTTCCCATGACTCCTCTATTGCGCGCCATGTGTTCGACTGGCGACGATGAGTAGGTTTTCGAATGGACATTCTCCTTGGAATACTACCCGAGCCCAACGTATCAGACATCTGCGATGAGGGTCGCGAGACAGACGGTGCTGCCCTTGGTGAGGCAGGAGATTGACCCCGACCATGTGCCCTAGAGTTGACTGGTGATCGCGGGCTCTGAAAGGAGAACGACCCAAAGTAGGGCGATCTCGGTGAAGTCGGGGTCTTCATTGGCGGCTGTGGTGCAGGCCTTGGGCTGACGAATCTCTCTGGTTCCTCAGCGACATCTGCGAGACTAGGGCTAAACGATGGCGGTGTCGTTGCGTGAATGGCCGAGTCGTCAGGTGTTGTTACCGCATGGCCGAAATACGAGGAGTCTTCTAGTATTTCAGGTATTATGTCTGGTGTGGACACAGCCGAGAGCGCAAACGAGTCCCAGATACCTGATTCTCGCTTGGATCGAGACGATCTGCGTGGGATTGGTCCTGTCTCTTCATATGCAATTTCAGGTGTATCGAAAGGAGGTCCAAGAGGAGATATGGCGATTGGAGAGGCGCCTGTACCGAAGAAGATGTGTGGGTATGTTTCCGAGGGCTGATACCGGGTTGGGAGAAGCTCTCTATAGATCGGGCTAGACGTAGTGGTCGTCGCATCATTGGAAAATGGGGTGCATTTTCCGACTCATGGCGCGCATCTGGACTGCGAGGGGGTGATCTAAAGCCAAGGGCAGATGAGGATCTATCCTCTCCAATTGCAAGGTTTTCAGAAGAAAAGTTCCTGAAATGGAGGCTCTCGGTTGGTGTATCTGGGAGTTGCTTTTCGAGGGCAGCGATTTGATGTCGATCAGTATGGGAGAGGTGCTGAAAGTCGAATGGGCTCGAAATACGGCTTATTAGGTTCGCACCTGCTGTGATGGTTAGCATATAGACCTCGTGTTGGGGAAACTGTTGCTTACCAGCCTCCTCAGCTTGAGTGTTACCTCTTTTGCTCTTCCGCAAGATCGATGTTCGCCTTTCGTTGGCATCCCCGTCATACTCATCAACGTTGATCATGGGCGTCTCACTTAGCCTCTTGCCCTTTTTGCCGCGAAACAATGACCTCCTCGATCCGGTAGACTCCTTGTGGTTTTTGTTGCCGGTTTGTCGATGTCCAGGTGGTGAGTCATGCCATGAACCCTCATGTTCAGCCATATCGGAATGGCTAAGAGACAGTAACGACGGGGTCGTGGACGTTGCGGTATTGCTCCTTGATCGTAGGTTGAACACGGAGCTTCGTCTGGCCGGATAGGCTCTAGGTTGTTGTTCAGGCGAATGCATACCAGCATGAGAAGAGTGCGTAGGAGGATACTGCTCCAGCCAAGAGTCTGAACTTGTGGTGGGAAAGTTAGGCCCCGCGGCCTGAGAGTCTACAGATGACTGTCGAGATCGGGATGCATCAGTTTTGTGGAATGAAAACATGGCTTGAGAATCTGGAGGAACCCCAGAAAGATATGGCCTAATGCAAGCAATGCGAACCGAGCAATGCTAGTATGGCGTGTGCAGGTCCCCACAAGTGGCCGGCAAATGTAGTGATGGCAACAACCATTGAAATTGACAGAATACTCTGGGAGAAACCTGTCGCGCGCACGCGAGCTCGGATGTTGTGAGTTGGAATGCCCGGGTTATACGCCTGCGGAAGGCGTTAGTGATGTATGCAAAGGACTTGCCATTGGTACACAAGACCTGTGAGGAGGGATTGAGGTTGGATGAGGCGAGATGACTGGACTTGGACCAAGTCTAGGATACAAGCGTAACAAACGAGGGTAAAGGTATAGTTGAGATGCAATAACAGTCAAAGTAATATATGCGTACCTGGTCAGGCAGATAACTTATTTGCAGGGGAGTAGAGAACGCAAGAGCCTGGTCACGGACCACTGCAGGGCGACGGCTGATGAAGGGGTTCTGCCCTTCTGTGTGGGAACAAGACGAGGATGTGGTCAAGGAGTTAGGGTCGAGTGAAGGTTGGCGAACTGCACAGACCGAAGTGAGACAAACGGTGGTTGCGAATCAGAATGAGTGGTGGACGGTCCAGGTAGCTGAGCAAAGATTCGAGTAGGGATTGTAGTTGCTGAAGAGCGATCATTGGCATATCCTGTAGTATTGCATGCCGTGACACGGGAACAGGATGCTTTGTGGCCGGTAAAGTAACAGCAGGTGTAGGGATGATCTCACTATGTAGGAACATGGCCGGCTTGGTCGAGCAGCGGAGAGTATGTGGAGAAGATGGAAGGTGCTCAGTGTGCTCCACTCGGTTAGTGACATCTAGGATGAGCAAGGACAAGGCTCGCTGCGCGCAAGCAGGAGAGAACATGGGTATCTGCCGCTGAGCGACGGTGTCTGAGCGTTTGTTAGTGGCTGGGGGAGCGCGGAACCAGGGGTGTTGGAGACGGGGGATGCCCGACTTCACAGGGCTTATGAGCCACTGACGATGAGCGCACAAGGTGAACGCGGCCCGACAGGTCGGCCTGCGTAATATAAGGTCGCAGGGGCAATGACGGCTGTCATTGATTGGACATTGCAGCGAAATAAACGGTTAAATCTGCTGCATATGTGCTTTGACCACGTCTCGACCCGCTTTGCTACGAGGACGTGAGCTCCAATTTGCTTGCAACGTCGGCCGTAAGTTGTTGTGCACCCGAGAAGGATTCGACAACGCGTAGCAGGACGTGCTGTGGCTGGAGCAAGTTGTCTTCCTGCGGTGTTCGCAGACAGCAGACGTTTGGTAGCACAGGACGCGTAAATTGTGCTTACGATACGAGCCAGGATCCATTCACAGGCTGGGAATGGAGGATTTTGGTAGCTAAATACAGCATTTGTGCCATTAGTGCCGAACAGTGCCGGCTCGCGTTTTCAGGCGGGCACGGCGCAATGCCTGCAGGGTTAGGCCTTGATTGTGCGATGCGCCTGGGCATGCATAACGCCTCAGCTTCGACATGTCTGCTACTTTGTCCTGGCTGTCTGGCTAAGCATGTCGAAGAGAGGCGCAACTATTGCTCCAAGTATTGGTGCATGCTATAGTCGCATTCCGGCGTGGATCAATAAATCTGTCAGAAAGGCATCGCGATAAGCGTCTGAGCAGAGACCAAAGGCTAGAGCAACGTCCCATCTGCAGATCTTCGCTCGTGAGACGGCGGAACCTGAAACAACCGAAGACAGCCCCTACACCATGGCCAAAGATGCGTCCAAGGACTCGATACCCCGCCTCACTCAGACGTCTCAATCTACACAGGGCTCGTCGGTGGATCGATCCGAATCGTGAACAGCCCTCATCGAGGTCGGAGTACATGCCATGATGTGTCGGAGCCCAGGCAAATCCCAAACGTGTTTCAGAGCCTCTTGACAGCCACAGTTAAGTTCTGACTATCGTGGGTTGTGAGGCCATTGTGGTCTGCCTTTTTCGCTACTCTTCAACAGACTCAGCGTGCACAAAGTACTACCTCGGCACAGTCGCACGGCCACCGAAGCATAACCTCGAGATTACTGAGTACGGTCCATGTTGCAACACCGTCTGCTCGTATCATGTCGTGATGCGGTCGCATACGACCGAAGTAGAGGCTGTAGATCTTCGCGTCAGCCGCCGTACAACAGCGCCATTCGAGTCTGCACAAAGACGTGTGACGAGCGCCTATCTCTACAAGTTTTTTTGTTCTTCTTGGAACATGCACTCGTAATGAGGTCCAACGCTCAAGGCATGAGCCGTGTGGGGGTTGTGGGCGGTCAGCTTCAACTTCAGCGGCACAGATGCAAAGCGATCACACCGACTGATTCCAAAGCGCCCGGTAATAGTGGCACTGGAACCGATTTCCTGTACAGTTTTTGGGCTGTCATTTCTCCCAAGCTGAGGTCCCGGACCTGGAGGTGAAGACTCTCTCGCGTGCGCTACCATGCCAAGAATACACGTGCATCTGTGGAACAACCTCGGGGATGACCCTATCTAATTATCATCATCATCATCATCATCACTGTCCTGTTACCCTGCAGACGACTGTGCACAGCGTCTCCTATCAATACCTGAGTTGGACATGTCTCCAGTCTCCAGTCTCCAGAGTCCCAGTGGTTCCTGTCCGCTGCGTGGTTCCCCCTGTTCCTGCAGTGGTCGCTGGCGGCCGACCATAGATCGGCGAGCACCACTCGGTACCTCCACCTTGCTGCTTCTTCCACGCACCAGCGGCCCACGTCTTACGCACCACGCCTCTGCGCGTCCAACAACCTTCTCCTATTAGTCCTCTTCCCGTTGTGAATGACGTTGGGTGCATGACGACTGCGCTACTTCCTCACGAGTACCTCTCTAGCGGGCTTGTAGTCTTAGGTTCGGCGCCCGAACTCCCGGACACAATCTTCACCGGTGTATCCACATGGCTATCCATGCGCTGTGGTCCGCTTCTATGGAAACCGTCTGTACACGGCAATTACCTCATTGCGGCCAATTATAGGTGCTCGTCTTCGCTCCACTTTCCATTCGTCTCGAGGCATTCAGCAGCGGGATTGAGATTATACTCCAGGAACATGCTGGCGTTGTCAGAGAGTAATCACGGTGCAACTCGTATCTGTTCTGCTAAGTATTCAAGTCTGCGTTTCCCGGACTTATGTCCACACGAAAACCTTGTTTCCTGTACCTGCAGGTCGTTCGCTCTGTCGTCTAACCATTTTCGTCAGACCGGCTGACTCTAGTTGGAGCCGTCCGTACCCCCACTGGTCGTTCCCCTCGACCTTAACACTACGTAGAGTATCTGCATCACTCAGGGATCTCTGCGTCCACGAAATCGAATGCGAATTCAGCAATGCCGATACCTAGAGGAACTCGCATTCGGCTCCGCTCTCACTAGGAAGCTCTGGTTTCACCATCGAGACATACGGGGTGTAATAGCTGTTAACAGGTGCATCCATGATTTGGCCGTGTGGATAATATAATTGCCATGGAAAATCGATCTGGGAACGGCTGTTGTTTGTGTACGGCGTTGCATACCGTACCAGAAAGTGTCGTCTTGACGCAGCCTCCTAGAGGCCATGAAAGATGTTTAGCAAGCCTTATTTCATGGTATCTATGATTACAGACGTCCTCTATACAACAACTGCTCTGGTACGTAGCGAATAACTCCGAAGTGAGAACCATCCCACCAATGAAGCAAACGTGGCGTTTTCGCTTACCAGCCTTGGCAACTGGCGGACATGATGGCTCTCCATCCCAGTGGTTCAACGCGCGGGCAATCGCAGCCACAGTCGTTTCCGCCTCAACAGGAGAGGCTCTCGTCTCCTCATACAAACGGTGCACTTGCGGATCTATCGAACCTTATCCCACAATCTGTGGAGACAGCGGCGGATACAGAGTACGCGTATACGTCCGATCCGGTCTGATAGGCCAACTGGCGAATAGCCCAAAACGCCGTCATGATCCGGGTCAAGATGCAGAGTTCGCTTAAACCCAAGGACGTATTCACGAATAGAAGTACCCGGTTGTCGGTCGAAGAGCCACTCCCACATTTAGCAAGCGACCGCTGCCTAGGTACATAAGTCTATCGATAATCTTCACTCTAATCCTTCCAGAGTCAGAGCGCGGGACACCGCCGAGGTCCAGACGACAGTCAGCTGCGACTTTTGATCTGGGGCGTCAAGGGCATCATGCACGTATGCTCCCAACGGCTTATCTGAGTCTTGGTCCACAGTTTCGGATCCTATGCAGAGGCAAAATTTTCGGGGAACATGGATTTGCAGCTCGGCCACGGCACGTCTTGAGCATAGTTTTGCCATCCAAGCATACAGTGGCCAACATCGTATGGGTTGGCTTCTCTCTCTCATCATCATGCAGCTGTTCTTTTGCTTTCTCAATGCATGGCTGGAAAAAGAGAGGGGCACTCTGCATGGGACGGGAACTCCGCCACTGTTCAACAATAGTCCAGCCCAGGGTCATGAGATTCTCGCGTCGCCCTCTTGGTCTCGCACTATCGGTTGATGCAAAAGCACGGAATTTAAGTCTGCTCAGATGCAGAGATGCTTTGAAGGCGGCTCCATTGCTATTGGAGGACGTGAACGAGAGGTGGTCGGCGGAAAATACTATCACAACGACCATCAGAGCAATCGATATATTTGATGCGGTCATACTGACACTACGCGGTCGAACGGGGGAAACGGGGATTACAGATGGAATGAACAGAAACTCCGCCAATCAACAATCCGTTGGCGCATCATCTGCGCCACATTTGCAGTTTTCCAACTACACTCTTCTGTGTCGATGCCAACTAAGAAAGCCGTGGCGTTTTCCTGTGCACATCTCAGGTTCATCTCTTGAAAGGCGCGCCGGTGGCCCACGGGCCGTGAGACATGGGTCACAATCCTTCGGTTGACGATCGAAGAGCCACCAACACCACTCTGAGCCGTGCCCCGGTGTGAACTGCAGACTTCATCACTGGTCAAGGCGCACGACGCACGGCGGTCCCGTGATGCACAATCCGCCTCGGTTGGTCCCTTGAAAGGGCAGGTGTATGGCAGGGCCAAAAGGGTTTTCTTTGACGATCGTAAAAGTGTGGGTATCGACGCAAGGCCAGACGCGTGCATCGAATGACACATCTACACGAACATGGCTTCACTTCCGACCGCTTTTTGCTTTGTTCGCTCATTTTATCAGACGGATTCATTAGTGTCGGAATGCTCGTATGAGAATTCAATTCCTCTCTTGCCATGACGTCGTCTTCATTACAACCGTACCACACTTGAGAACTGCAATGTATGTAGGGTACGCAATTTGTACCAACTGCCACGCCGGGTCAGAAATTGTGTTTTTCCGTAAGGACGGATACCATATCACCCAAAAGACCTACAACTACCGTTGGCCAGTGCGACCGCAAAAAGCAAATACTTACATCAAGCCACCATGCAAGTGTCATTTCGTTTGCGATTTACGCAAGGCCTCGCAATATGCACGATGGCAATCTCATCCTGCAGGTACAAGGTCCAGACCACACTTCGACTTGTGAAAAGAAAAGGAGTATATGATCGGTGGGCAGCTCGGATATCCAACTTTGGTCTCTCTCATGTCACTAACGTTAGACAACATTTTTTACATAAGCGATGGTGGCGTCTGGAATCACTCTCACTACCGAAATAATACTCATACGAGATAGATCTAGACTACTGATTACCAATAGACGTTCGCGGAGAGTAAGGCAGATTTTCAACAGACTGTTTCGTCGTTGGCTGTTAGTGGTCAGACAACCAGTCTAGATGATACAATGAAGTATGTCTCACGTTGACGATGTGGTCTGACAGTTCAAGAGCATGATGTACGGACATGTACCATATAAACTGTGAGTAGCCAAACCAAGCAATGAACAGCTATAGTGTACACCTGCCGAATACCTACCGAATACCTTCTCCTCTAGCATCATGCGTCTTGTACATTCAGTATACGCGTCTGCCCTGTCAACCCTTGTACATCCAAGCAACGTTTTTTTAACCAAACTTCTGCAACATACTTCCGGAAACGATTTGCCCCCTAGATAGGCAGATCTACGACTAAAACATTACCGGAATCGATAAACGGCTACATGAAGCCGTTCTCAATGCCGAAAGTATCAGTGAAGGCAGGTGAAAACGTACACAATGCGGGGTCTGCCTGTCCGAAGACAGGCCGTCGATTACACCGACTGGATGGTGGTCTGTCCTCCATTTGTATCGTTGATCGAAACATTCTGGAACGCGTGTCTTCCCCGTATCCCCAGTTCGTGGTGAGTTTGAGACCAGGGCGTTTTACGGTAACGGGTCGATATACTTCAAGATCCAGAGATCCAGATCTGGAGGCATTGCTGGGTCTAGCCCATGACATAGGCAGTAATACGGCACTTTTCAGTTGGTTGCCTGTCATTTCCGTGCATACGCTGCGCGTTGTTGTTGCTCACCTCCGTCAAGGAGTTGAGGGGTTCTGTGATGTGGAGAAGGAGCCGACGACCAACATCTTCTTGTTGGGACAGTCAGACCGAGGAAAGATGGGCTCGTCCGTTATTGGCGTTAGTTATCGCCTTGGTATGCGCAAAGATGAATGAGGCAATCGTGTCTTCGCACTGACAATCCTCCGCACCAAGGTTGATGATCTTCGAATACCGAGCGCGGGCATAAGGCGGACAATAAGGCTGACGTGTTCGTTGGGGAAACTTCGGGATTCACAATTAGAGCATCAGTGCACAGTACATGATTTCTCCTATCGCAAGGAAGAAGACGAGTTCCGCGTTAAGGAAAGCCCGCCTGTTGCAATGGAAAGAGGAAGTGATATGCTGGTGGACATTAATCATCATTCGACAAGGGAAGAAAAAGCCGAGTGGATGAGCGCCAGAAACTGCCGATTAGTAGGGCATAGGTAAGGGTACATGGCCATGATAACTCTACGTAGCTCCTGCTTTGACAGGCGCGTTGTCCTAGCCTTATAGATTAGCTAATTGAAGGTACGCTTTTGCAGGCTTGACCATAGCTGCAGGACATAGTCAAAATTCTATAGTTGACGCGTTTTGCTTCATATAATCCTCCCCTAAGTGAATTGTCTTCTGTTAACGAGTCTGGATAATTAGACACGAAGAGCCAAACCTCGTTGTCGTCGTTCTTTGATCTTCCTCAGCAACTCAGCAGCATACGAGGGGAAACCGTGAATCATGATAGTTTTGTTTGCTCGTTCTGTGTGGTATTCCATATGTACAATCCCGCAGTAACGAAGCCTGAATCAACCGGTACGCCCTTGTTCTGCATGCGCTTCCTCTTACTGGCAACTCCTAAATTGTCTCATCATGGTGACCACCCTTGTCATCGAAGAACAGTTGCTCGGCAACAAGATATCCAGCGAATGCGACGGTGGCTATTCCGAGGCCAGGGAAGGAGCCCTTGAAGCGGTTGAAGCGGGTGAAGGGTCCGGTGTATCGCCATTGCTCACTGCAGAGGTAAGTATGTGCGGTCTCAGGCCAGCTCGTGGTTTGAAGCGTACTATCGTGCCCATGGGTCACCCTTTGTGCCGTTTGCGGAGGCAGCGGCGAACTTCTTGGGATCGAAACCGGTGATGGAGGGGCGTGGTGCCATGGTGATGGAGCTGGAGTAGTCAGCAATTGTTGCGCGTGAGAAACAGCCAATCAACCAAGCACGAGAGGATTGAATGCGTACTTTATCGGCCTCGTGAGCAGCTGATGCGAGTCAAGGCGTTTGGAGGAGCTGACGTTGTTCGTTCCTGGACCTTCGTCAGTCGCATCTCTCGATATCTTGGCGAGCGATCATCGCGCACGGCCTACACACGTAACTGCGGTCGCTCTCCCCACACCACTCATACAACTCCCGCAACCCATCGTTATCACCACTCCGGACGCGCTCGAATAATTCTGAGATACTCCAAGACTGTGGCAAGCTTCATCTGAGCATCCAGGATTCTTTGTCGTTTCGTCAACACCACGAACAATCACGAAGTCGTTCAACCCCACGGACACGCGAATCGCCTCAATCACTAGAACAGCTTCACGATGCCGCCTCACGGGGGCCGATTTCCCGGCCACAACCTCTCGAACCCTTTCGCACATCTCTCAGGCCCAATACCACAGCAGCAACAACCACTGCACCAGCAACACCAGCAGCAGAGCATACAACATCCAGGTTTCGGCGGCGGCAACCAAGCCCACAATCTAAACCTCTTCAGCCAACATCAGGGCGGCTTCCAATCAAATGCAGCGCTAGGCGGTGGATTGGGGGGAGCAGGTCTTGGAGCAGCAGCCGCGATTGGCGGGGCAGGCGGAGGGACAGGACTCGACGGGCATGAAGCGCGTATGCGGTTTGCTCATGGCGCACAGATACAAGAGAATGCTGCTCGTGGTCAAGATGGCGCCAAAGGCATTGCAGGGCAGCGGATACGGGAAGTCTGGCGGTCGAACCTACACCAGGAGATGGATATGTTGCGCTCGCTCATCGATCAGTACCCCTATATCAGTATGGTCAGTATGCCACTCTCCTACAAGTCGGTCGGACAGCTCTTGTATGAGAGCCCTGTCTGATACGTGTAAAGTCTGTCGCCAAGCCTGGCACAATGGCTTCTTTTCCTGGTCTTGAAGTAGTTCCATTCTACCTCTCCCTCTCTTTTCTGAACGTCGCGCTTACTTGATGAACAGGACACCGAGTTCCCCGGTGTTGTCGCGCGACCTATCGGAGACTTCAACTCGAAAGCCTCCTATCATTACCAGACAGTGCGCTGCAACGTTGACTTGCTTAAAATTATTCAACTCGGCGTCACCCTCTTCAATGTACAAGGCGACATCCCGCCATCGCATCTTGACGTCTCAGAACTGAACTACAAGCCAAAGTCGATACAACGATATGCGAACAACATCATCGTCTGCCCATGCACATGGTCATTCAACTTCCAATTCTCGCTCGAAGACGACATGTACAACGAGGAGTCAATACAGATGCTTAAGAAATCTGGCGCCGATTTCGAAAAGCATAGGGATCAAGAGCATTGACCCTCAAGAGTTTGGCTCACTACTCACAACATCCGGAATGACTCTATCGGAGGACGTCAACTGGATATCGTTTCACTCTGGCTACGATTTCGCATACATGCTGAAGATGCTCACCTCGAAATCACTACCCGAAGACGAGGACACATACCGCAAGCTCGTCAATGTCTTCTTCCCCAAGTTACTGGATGTCAAATACCTCTGGCGGCATGCAAATAATCTCGTCAGGCGCGGTGTTATCGGATCAACTGCGACCAACATACTCAATAACCTGGGCACAAAATCAGGCCTCCAAGACCTCGCCGATGAACTCGGCTGCCAACGCGTAGGCAACTCACATACAGCAGGCTCCGACGCATGGCTAACAGGTGTGGTCTTTTGGGAGATGAAGAAGAAGATCTTTGACGGAATAGTTCCTGACGAGATGAGCGGCCACATGTGGGGTCTTACCGGCGTTGGACCGCCAGCCAGTGCGACGGCGCAGGCTGCTGTTCTCGCCGCACAGGGTGCTTCACAGGGTCTGACAGGCTTCCAGCAAGGTGTCAACAACACTTTCTATCCCGGCAACGCAAGGCATGGTGTCGACGGACCGAGTACGCCCACAAACCACCCAGCTGGTCTCGCATCAAATACCCCTGGACCGACAGGCATGATGACACCAGGAGCATATGGCGGATATGGCAACAAGTAGAATGGTGGCTATTATAACAAAGGGGTGTAGTATCCCAATCAGCCACAGCCATTTAGGGGTCCGCATCCCAAATATCCGTATCACCCTGCTTATGGCAATCATTACTACGGTGGTTATGACAACAATTGGTATACCGGCTACCGAGGTGGTGACGACGATGGGAACGCGCCATAAGCTGCTTGAACATTTGGGACTGGTCACAATGTAAAAGTGATTATCAGCGTCTTGGGACGATCTGAAGGAAAGGACTCGGACAGGCTGGCGTAGGATAGTATTGTACGATACCCGGGGTTAGTGTACTGCGAGTGTGGATCATACGTGTTAGTATGGTCAAAATCATCATTGCATTCATGTATCACTTGTGCATAGATTAAAGTGGCGTCCTCAGTCTTTTGGTTTCAGCTATTGTGTTGACAGAAGTATGGAACACAATTTGTGCAAAGTGTAGTATTGTATTCGCTTGCACAAAGCAAGAAGGCTGTTTCGAAGATTCTTCTGCAGACCCGCGAGGCATCTACATGTTGAACCTCGTCCTCTTCTTCTCCATACGTCCCTTCCACTGCCATTCCTGGCCGCTCTTGAACTGGATTCCGCGATCTATTCTGCGGAGTTTGAGTGTCATTCTGGGTCTGTATGTATCCATCGTTAGCTGTTTACTCTATACTCATCATACGCAATGATAAGACTTACCCAATCTCTTGCATACCCACTTTGACATCCTCGACGCCTGGTAGTGGCTTGCCATCAGATCCCAAGATGGGTTTCTCGCTCTCTCGCTTATCACGGAAGACGTAGCGATGCCTTCGCACGAAGATGTAATCGCGCTGATTGTGTAATGTGAGGACTTGACGGCCCTCTAATTCGGGTTTCGCTGGGAACATGTTCTGGAACAGATGTGCTGTGAGGATACCGAGTGGTGTCTTGAATTGGTTTAGGATCAGCTCAGGGTAGTGTCCCGTGTCGTTCGCATGTCGGGGTAGCTTCTTTCCCTCGACCCAATTTGTAAGAGAAAAATGGAAATGCGGTCCGTCGGGAAGGGTGACAATGTCCAACCCGTCGGGCTTCTTCTCGTGTTCGGCTTGCATTAGGATGACAAGCGCTGTGTATCCTCTTGCGCTGGCGAAACCTGCAATCTCCTTGACGCTATACTTGTGTGCGTGTACGTGCTGCGTCCGTCTTATGTAGGTGCTGTTGGGGAAGAGCGAAGTGAGGATTTCGGCTTCTTTGTGGAGCGTCGAGTTGATGCTCGTTGTGATCAGAATCTGTGGGTCGTCGGTACGAGGGTTGAATATGGATGGGAACTTTTGCTTCAGGAACTCGGGTGATAGCTCAAGGTTTGTTGCGGTGGATGTGGCGCTGGGACTGGAGGCGCGTTTTCCGGGCTTGGACGAGGCGGCGTCCGAATCCAAGTCCGAATCGTCGGAGTCAAGCTCAGATTCAGGCTCAGATTCGTCAAGCATGCTGTCTGCTTCGTCGTCCATGTCCTCATCGTCGCTATCTCCCTCCGTCGCTTGATCGCGCTTCTTCAATTTCGCCAGTATGCCCTCTTCTTCGCCGTCTTCACCCTCCTTCTGTGCAGTCTCCTCTTGCTCCACCTTCCTCCTCTTCGCAAGTCTTTCTACGTCTATCGCCCACCCCAGCGCATCCTCTTCGTCACCGACGGGTTCATCCCACACACGCTTGCCGTCGATAGTCGCAGGCTTGTTTTGTGCTAATCTTTCTTCTCGTAGGGCTGGATTTTTTTCTTCTTCGCGCTTGCGACGAAGTCTTGCGTCTCTCTTTTCGGATTCGCGCGCCTTCTTGATGGAGAGGAATGCGGCCTGTCGGCGCAGTTTGTTTTTAGGCTTGAGGCCCGAGGCGGTATTAGGGCTCTTGGAGAACGCCATTTTGAGACCGATTCGCGTTGCTGGTCTGTTTTTCGCCGACGGGGTTTGGGTGTCTTGCGCGTGTAGAGTAGTTGGAGAGCGCAAGTGCTGCTCAACTTTTCGGTGGAGCCGCGGCCTGTGCTTTTCCGCAATCTTGGCGCGTCACACACCGGCAGAGATTCCACATGTTGAAGCATGCCATTTCAGGCTCGAGACTTGTAGTCCATCTGTGTATATTAGACCCCTGTCGCTCATTAATCTTCTCTTGTCGGTTGCAAGAGAATATACGTAGTATATGCGCCGACTAATCCCATTGCTGCGCGTCCCTCAATCTGCTTCGCGCCTCTCTTTACGTAGACCCTTATATCGTGCCCCACCTCCGCCGACTCATCCCACCAAGCACTTCTCGTCCACACCACCATTCTCCAGATACAAGGTGCCACAGCGCAAGAACGTCGCCATGCCTAGCGATACCACCACACACAAGGGCAAGCCCTTTGAAAGGGCGGCTTTCGAGCAGCTCATGAAGGTATGCGGGACTGATGGAACACTGCACAGTCGTGCTAACAACAGCCATTGTAGCACAAATACTTCTACGCTCCCTCATTCGACATCTACGGCGGTGTCGCCGGTCTCTACGACTACGGCCCACCCGGCTCTGCCCTCACCGACAACATTGTCGACATATGGCGCGAACACTTCGTCCTAGAAGAGGATATGCTCAAGGTCGAACCCACCATCCTCACCACACACGAGGTTCTCAAGACCTCTGGTCACGTTGACAAGTTTGCCGACTGGATGTGCAAAGACCCAAAGACTGGCGAGATCTTCCGAGCCGACCACTTGGTCGAAGAGGTCCTCGAGGCTAGACTGAAGGGCGACAAGGAGGCACGCGGCCAGAAAGTTGAGGTTGAGGAGGAAGACCCCAAAAAGAAAAGAAGAAGGTCAAGAACATTGCTGCAGTAAAGCTCGAGGACTCCATGGTCCAGGAGATTGAAGAGGTCCTGGCCAAGATTGACAACTACAACGGCGAGGAGCTCGGTCTGTTGATGAAGAAGTACGACATCAAGAACCCTGCTACCAACGGCGAACTACTACCTCCCGTCGCATTCAACCTCATGTTCCAGACTTCTATCGGCCCCTCGTCCAACCTGCCCGCCTACCTGCGTCCCGAGACCGCCCAGGGTCAGTTCGTCAACTTCCAGAAGCTGTTAGACCACAACATGCAGCAAATGCCCTTCGCCTCTGCATCCATCGGCAAGTCGTTCCGTAACGAAATCTCCCCGCGACAGGGCCTGCTACGTGTGCGAGAGTTCCTCATGGCCGAGATTGAGCACTTTGTCGATCCAGAAGGTGGCAAGAAACACCCGCGGTTCGAGGAGGTCAAGGACGTTGAACTTGAGTTGCTCAACCGGGATGTGCAACTCTCCGGTAAGACTACCGTTGAGACCACCAAGATTGGCAAGGCTGTCGAGACTGGTCTCGTGGATAACGAAACACTGGGTTACTTCTTGGCCCGTATCCAGCTGTTCCTGCTCAAGCTCGGTGTCGACCCAAAGAAGATTCGATTCAGGCAACACATGGCTAACGAGATGGCGCATTACGCCGCGGACTGCTGGGACGCTGAACTGCTCACATCATACGGCTGGATTGAATGTGTCGGCTGTGCTGACCGAAGCGCATACGACCTCTCTGTGCACATGAAGAAGACTGGTGCACCTCTGATCGTCCGTGAGACGAGAAAGGAACCTCTGAAGGTCGAAGAATTTGTCTGTGAACTTGACAAGAAGAAGTTTGGTCCCAAGTTCAAGAAGGACGGTAAGACCGTAGAAGCAGCTATCGAAGCGTTGTCACAAGACCTTCGTGAGAAACTGTCTCTGGATCTAGAGAAGGAGGGCAAGATCATCATCGACGTCCCAGAAGTTGGTGATGGCAAGGTCGAGGTACCAAAGGACCTCATCACCATCGAGAAGCGTACTCGCGTAGAGACCATGCGCGAATACACACCAAACGTCATTGAGCCGTCATTCGGTATCGGCCGCATATTTTACGTAAGTATCCATGTGTTGAGACGGTCACGTAGCTTGCTGACTGAATTAGGCTCTATGTGAACATGTTTACTGGACTCGTGAGCAGGACGAAGCCCGTGCTGTCCTCTCCTTCCCCCCAGCAGTCGCACCGACCAAGGTGCTCATCGTACCGCTCAGCTCAAATCCTGACTTCGATCCGTTTGTACGGAAGCTGAAGGACAGGCTGCGAAAGCTTGGTATCTCCAACCGTGTTGACGCTTCCGGTGCATCTATCGGCAAGCGTTATGCTGTAAGTCATTTCTTTTACTCGAGCAATTTTGATCAAAGACTGACATGTCCCCAGCGCAACGATGAGCTTGGTACTCCTCTCGGCATCACCATAGATTTCCAATCTGTCAAGGACAACACTTTCACACTCCGAGACCGAGACACCACAGAGCAGGTCCGCTCAAGCTTAGACGAGATCGCCCAGGCTATTTCCAACATCGTCAAGGGCGAGGAGACATGGTCGGACGTCGCAGCGCGGTTACCCAAATTTGAGGGTCAAGAAGTTGACTGATTGCACTGAGGATGCTCATGACAAATACAACTGCTGCTAGTAGACGACAACGTTGAAATAAAACTAAGACAAGTGTATTCTATGGGATGCGCTTGCTGATGCTGTCGCTCAGTCTTTCTCTGTATCACACTGTGACGTCTAATTTGTCTACGCTGTAGACGTGCGTTTCTCAAATGTGCTCACCGCATTTCGCGCCACTTCCGAATCATACCTTCTCTACTACGCTCCACTATACTGCTTACCATCGCCCACCTCATATACCTCTTGGTCTCGCACATATGAACACGGCACAGCTGCGCATCAACCAGAAATGGAGGCCTGACCGAGCCGTGCGAATCAGCTTCATTCCTTGTTGCATGTCTCCGGGCTCCGAGATATCCGGCACCACTTTTTCGCATGTCGCATGATCATCCCGTAGGCATTACCGCTGAAATGGCTTTCGATAGGTCGCCCTCTGATGCCTATCAGTTTCTCTATGTAGGATACCTTGTGGAGATAAGAATTGCAAATTACTCACGGTCAGCAGGGGCTGACACCTCGGCGTCCCTGAGTTTTGGTCCATCAATTCTCTCTACACCGGGCGGCTACCCGCTGCATCTCCTAGGATCAGATGTAACCAGCGATGACTCGGATGTGTCGAGCTTGGTCCTGCACGTACTAGACTCTGGATTATCACCAAGGAGAGTGGTGCGAATATTAAGCAACCCGAACAGGCTCGGAGCAAGCCTACACTACACCTTGTTCAACAAAGCTCATAAGATGGTGCACTCACTTCCGACAGTCTGGGTGACGATCTACTGGGACCCGCCCGCACCGCTGGCTCCGACGGTATGGCCGCACCGTCAAAAAGCCCCGCGCCAGAACTCTGTCCCTAGAACTAAGGTGACATCTTCAGGACTCTGCTATTCTCAGCAGGATCAACAAAAGACCGCTTCACGTTGGCTCTGGACTGCGGCTCCAGCCTTTTGTGACATACTGCAAGCCGGCAGCCGGGGCTGGGTTCCTACGCGCTAACACCTGCAAACGCGTAGCACGAACCGGAAATTGCATTGTAACATAACAATGGACGCATTCATGTCGCCAACGCCTCGATTTCAGCACCAGCGCATTTGCTCGTCAATCATCTGGTCGGATGGTCGAGCATAGACAGCCTGCTGTCTGATGCTGGGGTTGGTAATCGACTTGTGTCAGATCAACATGGTCAGAAGTCAGCGGGCAGCAGAGCCTGCACTTCGTTTATGTGGCTGTTCAGAATCTTATCAGCGTCGGTCGAGGCCAATTTCTTAGCTACCATGGATATTGGCAGTTCCGATCATCTCTTACTAACACGCTCCAACACACGCCTACGTCGATAGCAGCGTACCATCAAATGTCGCGTCAGTCAGTCACACACATAGCGTGATTTCCACTACCGTCCGCAGATCTCCTTGCCGTAAGTTGCCCGTTTACGCTTACGTCCAGCATGTAAGGACCGTATACCCAGTATTCACGCGCCCCCCTCCCCCCAGCATGAAGCGACCATCGCTTAGCATGCGGAACCTCAGGTTTTAGCACCAGTTTGCTAGGGTCCTACGAGTGCAGCACATGCTCAAAAGACAAAGCGTTTCTACTTCTTCCATCCGCTCATCGTTTTCGTCTCGGCTTGCTTAACGATTTTGTTAGGTCTTTTGCATCGGCTTCCGAGACCATGGATGAGGGACAGCCACCACCCGAAGGCGTGGTTGCCCCTCACACAGAAGCTCCACTCAAACGCCGACGAGCTGACTCGGAAAGTACAGCGTCGATCGAGTCCAAGTAGGTTGCTGTTCTCTACTCTTGCATCTTTTTGCCACCCCGCATTTCGACGTGGTTGTTGGGCTAGATTCAAACGGGAGGCCTCAAGAGTGAACAACAACAACAACAACAACAACAACAACGACTGTAGCCTTGCAGATGATCAACCATTGGTAACAATCGCACATTGAACAAGCTGACACCTAAATTGACAGTCGCTCTGTCCGCACTTTGGCCTCCGATGATCTGGAGTATATCCATGAAAATGGACGAACGTACAGCAATGAGACGTACTATCTACCATGCGTATACAAGCCACATAACGATTTTGTAGAGCAAGATCGTCTATCTTTACAACACGAAGTCTTTGTTCGAGCACTTCATGGCAAGCTTACCACTGCGCGATTGTTGCCCACCACGCGAAGGATACTCGATTTGGGTACAGGACCGGGTCATTGGGCTGTTGCCATGGCGCGTCAATACCCGCATGCGGAAGTCGTTGGAATTGATATGACTGAATGGGATATCGATACTACCGAGGCCACGTTAGGCGATGCTAGGGTGACGTGGGAACTCGACGATCTTGACGTCTGGGGAAAAGAGATGGATGTTGACGAGCTAATCAATCAGCTCTCTACTCTGGACTTGGCTACCGAGATGGCACATCGGAATCCTGTAGAGTCGCTCAGGAAACCGAAATCAACGGCTGACCTCAATCATCGCGGGGGTGGAGTACTCCAGAGGAGTCTCTGACTATCGATCTCTCAACACTCACACCACAACCTGAGCCTGGCTGGCATTTTAGCGATTCTTTCGAACTCATACATCTGCGGAACATGAAGGGTTCTTTTACTCATTGGGAAGAGGTCTATGCAGAGATATACAAGAGCCTCTCCCCTGGTGGGTGCATTGAACTCGCAGATTGGGATTTGGGACAAGTGCCATTAGGCCCGGGAGAGATCACAGCAGCAAACATACCTATGCCTACTCTTCGCAAACTGTACGTGGCGTTCATGGAAGCGTCATTCAAGTCTGGTCGTCCGCTCGGTCTCTTCTATATGCATCACACCTATCTCGAAGAAGCGGGATTTGAAGACATTCAAACGACTCACGTCAACGTACCGGTCGGGCAATGGCCAAAGGACGAGGCGCAAAAGTCGCTTGGTAAAATGATGTTTGTGCTGGGTATGGAGATGTTTGAGCCGGTCTGCTTGCGGTTGTTGACGACATGGGGTAGTAAGAACAGGATTTGGACTGCTGAGGAGCTCAGAGCAGATATCGAGATGGCACAACGAGAAGTGAGAGATTATGTCGAGCGGTCTGAGCGTGGAGAGGTGGAGGGTTGGTGTGCAAGCTTCAAGTGGGTTACTGCTAAGAAAAGCTGGCATGCGGAGAAGTGAGACTAATTTGGGTACATGAGCTGGTCAACACATGTACTATACGGGGTTGGTGATATCGCGAGTCAAATGTTGGTGCTGCGAGTAATGACTGCCTAGTTATAAAGTATACCTTGACTATAAATACAATTCGACTAGCCCACACTTCCTCTATAGTAAGACGTCCATGTACCTTTACACACTGTTCCCTCGATATGATTTGATCATTAAGATGTTGGCGAAGGAGGTCAACACCCACCACTCTAGCTGAACATGGCAGGCGCACTTGTTGTACAAAGATCATAAAGTTCGGAAGGCGGAGCCGTAGCAATGCCATATATAAAAAGAAGGGCGCGGTAAGTGAACAACTGCAAGACCCTCCGCCTTTCTATAACTCCAAAATGTCCGCAAACCTCTCAGCTAACACGCTCTTCAATGTCAATGGCATCGTAGCCGTCATCACAGGAGGCGGATCAGGTAGTCCAACCTCGCCGAATCTAACAGAACGATTCTGATACCCCCAGGTATCGGCCTAATGATGACAAAGGCCCTAGTAGCCAACGGCGCCCACCTCGTATACATCGTCGGCCGCCGCGAAGACGTACTCCGCTCAGCTGCAGAAAGCATCGACCCTAAGATCGTCATCCCACTACCCGGCGATGTCACATCCCGCGAGTCTCTTCTCGAAATTGCAAAACACGTCGAGACCAAAACCGGCTCCATCAACCTCCTTATCTGCAATGCCGGAATCATGGGTCCCAAGCCGCTTAAAGCAGCACCCGGCTCTGCACCTCCGTCGCTTTCAGAGTACAGAGCGCACGCCCTCGAGACGCCCATGGAGGAATTTACAAACACGTATGCGGTGAATACCACAGCTGTATACTACACCACTCTCGCCTTCCTCTCCCTCCTCGACGCCGGAAACACAAAGAGCAACATGGGCGCAGACGTCCGCTCCCAAGTCATAACTACATCGAGTATCGGCGGCTTCTCGCGCTTACCGGGCGCATCGTTTGCTTATAACAGCAGTAAAGCTGCCGTCACGCATATGACGAAGATGCTTGCTACGTCGTTTGTTCCGTATGGCATCCGTTGTAATGTGCTTGCACCTGGGATTTTCCCGTCTGAGCTCGCGATGGGGATTATCGGGGCGTTGGACCCGGGGCAGAGTGGGAAGATGGATAGGGATGTTGTGCCGGCAGGGCGGGCGGGGATGGAGGAGGATATCGCGGGGGCAGTATTATGGATGGCGAGTCGGGCGGGGAGTTATTTGAATGGGAGTGTGGTTGTGGTTGATGGGGGGAGGTTGGGTATGTTGACGTCTACATATTGAAGTCATTAGCAGTAGAGATAGACAGCCATTGATTGTCCAGCACGGCAATTGCAGAGTTCGGGACAAGTGAGTCTCGGGGTTGTCTGAGGCTATTGTTATGTCTCTTCAGTACCTGAGTGACGAAAGCCCGCTTCCCCCACTAGCGCGTCTTCCCCTGCATCTGCGGAGTTGAAGCCACACCTCCGCACCAGCTTGCTAAACCTCGACTACGATGCGCGCGTGCTGACCACGCGACAATGCCTGCACAAACACACAGGCTCAATTCAAATGAGCTTCTGAACTCGCCCGGCTTCCTGGGCGCTGCGGCGCGCTTCTGGCAGGTCCGTCACTTCATCAATGGGTATTGCTCATGAACAGACAACTAACAACAGGTGACATCTGCAGCGCTCCTATGCTTCAGACTATGTTGGCATTGCGATACTGATATGCGGGTACATATTGGTAAGTAAGCTATGAAGCAATTCATCTCCAAGGTTTTGCAACAGCAAGACTGACAAACTAGGCACAGATACAATTCCTCGCTGAACCCTTCCACCGCATGTTCTTCCTCGATAACCTCGCCATCGGCTATCCACACGCGGAAATAGAACGCGTACCAGTCTCATGGCTCTTCATATACGCCGGCGCAGTTCCCCTTGGTACACTCGTCGCCTGGGCCCTCATCCTCCGCCCCGGAACACACAAAGCACATGTCACCATCTTAGGCTGGTTCATCAGCATGATCTTGACCATGTTCATTACCGACGTGATCAAGAACGCTGTTGGACGGCCCCGACCAGATCTCATTGCGAGGTGTAAACCCGCTCCTGGTACACCGGCACACCAACTCGTCACGTTCGAGGTCTGCACCGAGACAAATCACCACGTTTTGCACGACGGCTGGCGCAGTTTTCCTAGTGGGCATAGTAGTTTCTCCTTTAGTGGATTAGGCTATCTTGCTCTCTTCATCGCAGGTCAATGCCACGTCTACCGCCCTCGCGCCGATCTCGCTCGCGTCCTTCTCGCTCTCACTCCTCTCCTCGGCGCTGCCTTGATCGCTATCTCCCGCTGCGAAGACTATCGTCACGATGTATACGATGTTAGTGTTGGGTCTGTGCTGGGCATGGCGGTTGCGCATTACACGTATAGGAGGTATTATCCTGCATTGAGGAACAGGCAGTGTGCTACACCGTTTCCTAATCCGGCGGATGAGAAGGGCTGGGGAAGGTCAAGGGGACGAAGAGAGCTTGAGGGCTGCGGGTGAATTTGAGTTGGATGACTTCGATGAGGAAGATGGCGTGGAGGGGGAAGGTAGGCCGTTGAATGGGAGACGGTAGATTATGCGGTTGTGTTCATACGTTTGGGCTACTTTGATAGCTTCGCTTCAGTGTCCTCATATGTGTAAGAAGTGCCAATTTCTAAATTGAACTCAACACCTTTGCACAGAGACAAGTCACGCATGTCGGAGCCAAGAGCGTGCACTAGCGCGTTTGAGTGCGCTGGACCCTAGGATTTTTAGGGTTTCCAATGTTTCCACTGACCATTCGGAAACCACCAACGTCTACTTTCTTCTGTCCTGCTCTAGGCGCCTCCGACCCACACTTTCCCAAGCTCCTCCGACATTTGCGTTCCGATATCTCGCGAGTACTCCTCCTGTAGCCTCGTCACGATGTTGTTCGCTGCCTTCAACCGTGGAGACATAAAGTTAGACAAGCCACCTCCGTCATCAGAATTCTCGGTTCGACGGAACAATATTGTCGGGTCAAGAAGATTGAATGGTGAGCTGTCCGAATACTTGAGCGACAAGCATTTGGTCAAAATTAACCTCATACCCTCTACTGACTTGAGATAGGCTTCAATTGAAGGTTCGAAGCAAAGCGGCCGCTGACGGGCGAACTCCAATACTAGTCCTGCGATGCCGGCAGCGATGGGTGTCGCGCAAGATGTCCCTACCATTCTCTTCCAACCCGGCTCATCTTCCGAAGGAAGGTGCATAGGGTAAGTGGATCTTACAGCTTCACCCAGCGCAGTGAACCTGGCTTTGTCTCTTGTTTGCGGTGGGTTGAACTTGGACGAGTTGCCATGAACGTCTGCTGCATCGACGGCAATGACCTCCAAGGCCCGAGCTGGGTACGCCATGCCGGCTCTTGTCCGGATACCGTCATTCGAACTCGCTGCGAAGAGTAGAACATTGCTGGCTCTGGCACGTTCAATGGCCGCCCGAAGTCTGTGGTCACTGTTTTCTTCCCAGCCGAAACTCATACTGATGATATCGACCTTCTTCTTCTCGACAGCGTCGGTGATGGAGTCCGCTACGTACGTCCTGTTAATCGGCTCGTTACCTTCACAAACCCTGTACACATACACATCGGCGTACGGGCAGACCGTGAGGATCACACCAACGGCATGGGTTCCGTGGCCTTTGCTGTCATAATTCCAAGGCAGGGATGGATCCAGTTGCTTTCCTAACTTTACTCGAGGGCCCTTCATCAGCGACGGGACTGGGCCCCGGGCAGGACTCCTAGCTACTCCACTGTCGAGTACAGCGATCTTCACACGCCGCTCTGTTTTCTTCGCCTTGTAGCAGTCGTTCTCGTACGTGTCCAAGAGTCCATGTGCATGCTTGCGCAGATTTTCGAACCACTCGTCGGCTATGATCGCACTACGCATCATTAGCGATATGTCTGGATGTCCAAATAACTAGAGACTTACTCCTGATCACTCCAATTCTTAATGGGCGCGCTACCCATGTCGGATATGCTTCTTTCCATGGCGCTAACAGACGAGGCACGCTTGTGTTTCGCGTCTTCCGTCTGTAATACTGGCAAGTCTCCTTTGCCTAATTGATCATTGGATCGCACTTTCCTTAGGCTCCGAACTGGTCCTGGTTCATCAAAATCATGATGCCACCCACCAGGCACAGGGCTTTCTTTTGCAGCAGCCTTGAAAGTCTCCGTACGGATGGTGGGAACAGATTCGGACCGCATGTGATTCTGAGATTGTGTTTCGACCGATATCTTGGATTTAAGCCTGTTGTTATCTTCCTCTGGTTTCTCCACTGACGCGCTTAGTTCTGGGACCATCTTGGGCGCGATTGAAGACTGCTGCGAAGATTCCACCTTATCAGTTTGGCTAAAATTGTACTCTGGATTCTCTTCCAGCGTGGGCTTGGACGTCGGGATTGCGGTAAGCAGCTCCACGAATTGTCTCCCCTGCTTTCCCAACCAAGACATCGAGGTACTGACTATCCGCTCTTTTGCAGGTACATCATCTATTCTGACGGATGGCTCCGCAACTGATTCAGAGTGTGCTGTGAGTACTGGAGCCTGACTGACGAATCGCGGCAACTGCGGCTCATCTGGATCTTCGGTCTTTGCGCTCGATTCTGTGTGGGTGGTATTTGCTGAAGACACTGTCTGAGCGCACCGTTCATCCTCAGGCATTGTGATTCGGTCCTTGATAGCAGTACTGGTATCGCCCAGCTCTTGTGTACTATACGCTTCAGGCACATTGTTCTGAATGCCTTCAGGCGCGGTCGATTTTTCCAGTCTCATCTCGGCTGATGTAAGGGGGCTGGATGACTCGCCCTTTACCGCTACTGCGGTTGAAGGGAGGATACTCGTACTGGACACAAGCTTCTCATACGGTATTTGCTCAGATACCTGTTCTTTAGTAACCTGATCCGCTGATGAGGACAGCTTCGGGCTCGCTTTTGCGCTGTCGACTGGTATCGAAATCTTATCAATCGTCCCTGGCTGGGCACCAATGGACTCGGGAAGGGTCCGCTGGTTGACCGTACTGGAGATCGCATTCGTCAGTTCCTCTTTCTTATCTTTTCGTGTCGGGTTCCTCTGGCGTTGCGTCTCAAATGTGTCTACCAACGTCTTATTGAGGTTCTCATCTTCAGCCTTCGGATGTTCTTCCTTTTGGTCTTTCCTTGGCAGTGATTCTCGAGGCTGCTTCTTCGGTGTATTGCTTCGCGTCTTACTGGAGGGTTCTTCTTCTAGCTTCTGTCTTGTTGCTCTTCCTACATTCGCATGGTCTTGTGTTGGTTCATCATCCAGTGGCCCCGTGGCTGTCTGCTTGCTGGCTCCTTGGTTGTGTTGTTGTGTCTCCGTGTTTTCTACTTCTAGACACTTCTTCGATGGCTCCCCAACTTGTTTCTGAGCTTCATCATTACGCCTGTTCTTCTCCACTTTCGATGCCTCTGTTCTTCTCACGGCTTCTGCTGCTTGCTCAGCTAACTCTTTCTCTTTCCTTCTCTTTTCTCTTGCTTCGCGCACGTGTATTCGCTTAGCCTCTATCTCTTGTTTCCTTCTTGCCTCTTCCGCAGCTTCCTCCTGTTGTCTTTCCTCCTCCTTATCTTGGCGCTCCAAAATCTTCTTTGCTTCTTTCCCCTCTTGCTGGGTAATCATTTCTCCCGCTTGCGCCGGCTTCTTTGCATCTTCGTCCTGTTCCCGGCGTTTCTCTTCCGCCTTCCTCGAACCAGTCGACGCAGAACGAGACTTTTGTTTTCTTGCGGTATCTGAGGTTGAAGAAGCTACCTCATAGTTGGACTGTGAGCTCCTAGGCCTTTCTCTTTCGGTCTTGATTCGGGCTTCTACGTCGACAATAGGTTGCTCTTGGTCTTGCTTCCGTTTCGCGGCGTGTCTCGAAGGCGCAGGCTCTGTTACCGTTATTGAGGGTGCCGAAACCGTTCGCGATACCCTCTCATCCCTTGGACGCGCGCGATTCGAAGTGACCTTCGGTTCAGAGTCTTGCCTTTCGTTTGGTTCTGAAGTGGGTGAAGGCTGTTCTGAACGGCGTTTGCTGCGGCCCACGGGTGTCTTCAAACTGTCCGAATCTCTTCTTTCTGCATCTACCGAACCTCTTCTGCTGGCTCGTGCCGAATCGTCCGAAGTTTGCGGTCTCCATGCGGTCGAACTGTCACTGCCTGCCTTCTCCTTATCATCCCCTCGTTCACGTTTTTTGTCTTGTATGACCACTGCACCCTCTGGTTTCGACGGTGCTTGCGCTTTCTTCGCTTCAGTTTTCCCTTCCCCTTTTCTATCCAGAGATGTAGTGCGCGCCTTGTCCCTCCGTGTAGAGCTCACTCTCTCTAGCTCTATCACTTTCTTTCCAGTACGATCTGAATAGCGGGAGACGGCAGAGGGTGGACGGCGCCCCTTGTCAGGGGTAGCGCTTTGGCATCGGTCTACAACTTCGCTCCGACTAGAACTCCTTCGTTCAAACTCTTTTGGTCTTTCTTCAGTATGGCCCGAACTGTGGATGATGGCAGAGGCTGAACGCGGGCGTGTTGGTGGCTCATTCTTCGACTCGGTTGCTAGTGACCTCTTGGATAGATCCTTACCACGCAGCCGATCAGATGTAGAGTCCCTCCGGTCGGCCTCCCCGAGTTTTGATCCGGTGAAACCTGAAGACTGGGAGACAGCTGAAGCAGAGCGTCGGTGTGTCGGTGGCTCAGTCTTCGGGGATTGGGCCGAAGAGTCCTTCGATGTCTCTTTCGTACGCGGACGGTCAGAGACAGAATCTACGTTCGATGAAGATCTCGTCGTACCATTCAGAGTTCGCTTGGAGGATCTTGGACTTGCTCTTGATGAGTCTGGTGGGCTCGAAGTCTCTTTCCCTACATCGGACTGCCTCCGGCTACTATTCTCACTCTTCGTATCCTGTCCACCAGAGCTACGATTGTTCTTGCGAGTGACTTTCTGCTTGTCAACCTCTTGGCCGCGTCCTTGGATCTCTGTGCTTACTACTTCTCGGTGAATCTTTGACTGCTCTTCTACTTGCTTTTGTACTGCTAATCCCTTCCGATCTCCATCATTACGCTTTTTCTTCTCTGGTTCCAATGTCTCTATCCTTCTTATGACTTCTTCTTCCCCTGTTCGTTTCTTCTCTGCTGATTGCTTTGCTAACTCTTTCTGCTTCCTTCTCTCCTCTTTTTCTTCCCGCATTTGTATTCGCTTGGCCTCTTCTTTTTGTACTCTTAACGCCTCTTCTGCAGCTGATCGCCTTGCGGATTCTTCCTGTTCTCTCTTCTCTTCTTTTGCTAAGCGCGCTCGAACCTTCTTTGCTTCTTCTTCTTCTTGCTGGACAATCATCTCCCTCGCTCGCGTCTGCTTCTTTGCATCTTCGTCCTGTTTCCGTTTTTCTTCTTCCGCTATTCGCAATCGCACATATCTAGCAACCTCTTCTTGTTGGGCAACAGCCTCTTGAGCTCGCTTCTGTTCAGCTTTCTGTATCTTGAGCTCCTCTTCTTTCTCTGAGGCAATCCGGCGTCTTGCCTTTTCTTGTCGAGCGATTTTGGTCTTGCAGTTCTTAAGCGAGAACTCTGCATCTTCGAGATAATCTTGATATTTAGGCGCTGATCTGGCTTTGCAGTCTTTTAACTGGAGAATTTCGACTACCTCGCGAAACTTCTCCAGTGCGTCGCCATACTTCTTCAGACCATACAACTCCCTGCCTAGGTTGTATCTGATGTTCACAGACTCGATATGATCTTTTCCTAGACTCGCATCTGCTCTTCCCAAGGTCTCAATGTTCAGGTCTATCGCTTCCATGATGTCGCGGATGATGTCTTGGTCCCTACCAGATGTGTACAAAGCCGAAGCAAGATCTACTCGGTCTTTACATCTTTGCTCAGCTGACCTTGGTATGTTTCTATCGTTGACAACTGCTCGGAACCATCGGATCGCTTCCGGATACTGTTTACTCTCTAAATAGGTCCTTGCTAGTCGTCTTTGAGCGTTCAGATGCCTTTCTTTAGCATCCCGGGCCAAGGCGCTAATCTCTCGAGACGGACTCTGACACTGCTTGTAGTTCTCGAGAGTCCACTGCTCATTTTTCAGCTCGCACATTATCGCCTTTGGAAAATCCTTAGCATTCCTGAGACTGTCCGCCAGGCATTCCCGTAAGTTTAAAGTCTCCACACTGGAATTGCCGTAATGATTTTCGGCTATAAGGGTCGCTTCCTCCCATGCTCTAATGGCACCTGAGTATAGAGCCTGATCGCCATTCTCCGCTTTGATCTCAAGGCCTTCAGCCTCAGCAATGAGTTGTTCGATCTGAGCATCAAGCGTCATTTCAGGAGGACAAGACGTTTGCTAGTCCTCGTCGCTTCTTCTTCGCACCGTATCGGTTCTCAAGTACGAATCGGGAGACACTTTGTGGTATAGTAGCGAAAAGTGGTGTCGTCTACGAGTACCTGTCGCCGTGCGAGCTCAGGCTCGTTGTACCGTCCCAGCCTGGCGGTCGTCGCAATGTCGGTAATTTGGCATGCAGAACAGGAAGAGGAGATCTGCAGTTCTTCTCCAAGTCGAAGCACCTTGGGATTATGGAAGCGATCTCAGCCGCGTTGCGGGCCTCACGATGTCATTCAGGCTACGGCGAGGTGGGGGCTGAAGATGGCTCGCCTGTATACCCAACCTGGGTCAAGCGGATATGCAGATATCTAGCGTAACGCCGGGTGTAGCGACCGGTTTGAACACCCCCGTTGTAATTTGCGGCGCAGCCATGTAGCGATAGCAGCCAGCCTTCCCATTTCGACATGCGCCTGGCGCTTCTTTGCATTCTGAGCAGGCTCTGTAGCTTCAACCTTCACCGCGATGCGAACTAGGCTTCCCACATGCCCGTCCTCAAGCTTGCGCCTCAGAGACAGTCACGGATGACAGCACAGCCATCGGTTCGCTCAAGTCAACTATCAGCGCGCTTCTATCGGGTACTCGAAGGGTCCACAACTGTTGTCCGCCGCTGGACCCCCACCGCAGCGGCAGTCGAAGAGACTGGTCCTGTTAGCCCAACTCTCCAGCGACCATCTAACGAAGTCATCGGAGGAGCATTTGTAGGCGCGTTTCTTGGTCTACTGATACTGCTACTCCTAATATGGTGCTGTTGCTGCCGCAGCGGCCGCAGCCGCAGTAGTCGCAGTGGTAGTGATAAAAGCTCCTCCACACAGAGCCCACCGTCGTCACCAAGAGCCCCGTTCCCGATTCCACAACAACCTCTTGTTGAGACCAGACCACCACCTGATACCCGTGGCCCAGGTCCAGTAGCGCCTCTGCCCATTCGCCCAGCACCTCGTCCAGCATCTACTCAGGCACCTTCTGCCATCCAGCCAGCAGTTCCGCAAGTGGGTCGTCAAGCAGCTCCTGCACAACATAATCAGACAAATTATCCTGGTCCTCAAGCTCCTCAACCAACCTATCAGTTTGTAGAACCTCAAGCAGCTCCCCAGGGACATTCTCAGACTCCTCACGAAACATCCCGGCATTCTAAGCCGACACGCAAACCAACAGCGTTTGCTACAGTGCACGATGGGAAACATGCGTTGGGACTCCGGAGGAGTCGAGGACCAGAGCGCCCTGGGAGGCATGATAGAGTAGAGCTTGATTCAGAGTCTAGTTCCAGCGGCGGTCATAGGGAGAGAGTATATTTCCCACCCTTGATCGTGGTATCACAAACGCTAAGCCATGATAGCATTCCCACCGTACACAAGGTATACCGGCCTTCTTGTACATGAAAGTATGATTAGCCAGATGTCTGTCTCAAACGTCTTGATGCTGATCTCGTATACGTTGACTGGTCACTGGTCGATGCAGAGGTAAGCCGACTACTTTTGCCGCCAAGAAGTGGGTTTGACGCCTACCTGCATTACTCAGCCACACGGATCATGCATCCACACGTAATCCTGCATTGATATGCATGCTTCGACTCATACCGGAATATCTGCAACTAGCGCTAAATATATATGACACCTGGTGTCCTCGATAACTATTCGGCCTACCACGCAGCGCCATCACATCTCCCGACTGTCTTACTAAAATATTGCACAAAGTATGGTTACATCCAAACCCACTTACTTCCTCGCACCACGGCGTCCAAGCCCACCAGATGGACCCATACGCCTGGGGGCCATCATACCCTCACCAACTCAACCCGACGAGCCGCTATATCTACCTCCGCCACCTCCAAAGTCTGATACCAGCAAGTTTACAGAATACAACTGGAGTGGCTCACACGCCAAACAGTCATCATCTCACTTCGGTGTCTGGACGTCCTTTCTAGAATGCGTCCTTGGAATTGGTGCAGATGTCAGTGTGGGCTTGGACAAATCTCACCACCAAAGCTGGAAAGTGGATACAATGACGACGCAGTCATTTTTACCCAGTCGCACTTTTCTGGAACAAGTGGTGGGCCATGAAGACGTGAGGAGGTATATCACTGAAAACCGTTTTCGCGAGAAGGTCTACATTATCACCGGTGTTATGATCGCGTCGTCGGCAGATATTTCAAGCCAGAGACTCCAGGAGAAAGGACTTTACGTTCATGCTGGTGTTGATGCGGCGGCGTGGGCTGGTGTACCCAGTGGCCTTTCGTTCGGTCCAGAAGGGAATTGGAAACGCAAAGCTGAGACCAAGGAATCGAGTCGAACAGCAGATGACTTCGTCTTTGCGTACAGGATTCGTGAGATCAAGGTACGAAGGAAAGGCGGAGTCAAGTCGGATAAGCTGTATGACAAGGGTGCCTTGTTCGATACTGAGGTCAAGAGGAAGGCGGAGGAAAAGTACGAGGTAGAAGTCGATGGCTTAGGTGAAGAGCCAGATGTTGATGATGTTGATCTAGAAAATATGGAGGTGAGGCAGACGATTGGAGATGATATGGATGAGGAAGTTGTTTGTGTCTTGCCAGAACCTCTCGATTGAGTACACGAGTGTATGTATATATGCGAAATGTTTGCACTGGGAACAAGCACAACCACTCCTCGCGATATCGTGATACGTGTTTTCAAAGCTTGAGATTTCCAAAGTCGAGGTGAAGTCCAGCTACTGGTACGCTAGTCCACCTGACGTCCCCGAGGTCCCCTACTGCCCGCGTTCCTCCCGCAACCACTCACCATCGAGATCGACACTACTGATCGCACTGAACTACTACAAGGAGCGTTGTACCTCCAAAACAGCTTCTCACGTAATCCAGCTGCATACAACACGAAGGATTAAGCCAATGCCATCGTTGCTAAGAAGTACGTATATACACCAATGCAGTAGTCGCATTCTACGCATAAATTGCATCGAAGCATTGCGACATGCACGCGTCGTGTTCAACCCTCTAGAGATGACAGTGGGGCAGCATTTCTACCCGGCCAGAACCCGGCAGCCGTCGCCCAGGATTTGGATAGCGATCGCCCGACTACCGAGCAAGGCGGCACTGATATATTGGCTTGTCCAACGCTCAAGTCATCAAACTCAGTTGGTTTATCTCATTTCAAGTGTGGCCCTTTTTCACAATAAGGACATCGTCGACGCTCCCATCGCCGAGCCAGACCGGAGCATGGAGCATGAGGAAAGGCTCGTCTAGGTCTGTGCACATTTGGTGTGAAATGCCCCTCTTCGTCCCACTCCAACCACTGATTTCTTCCGCGCCGCAGCTTCAGATGGTAAACGGCGAGTGGTAGACCTGAGTTATAAACGTTTGATCCATTCTTTTCTCCATCAGCAAATTCGGGCTTGTGGTTTAGTGGTATAATACTCCCTTAGCACCTGGGTTTCACAGCAAGTGAACCCTCGTGGAACATGGGAGTGGTCCAGGGTTCGATTCCCTGCAAGTCCAATTCTTTTTGCTGCTGTCGTCGTCGTTGTCCTAGTCACGTTGTGCTGCTGCGGGTGGTGAGATGGGATGATTTTGATTTTTGACCATGTCGAGTGGTCCGTGCGCGTTACCTACCACTTCAATAACGATGAAACAGATGGATAGTGAGACTCTTTCATATGTCCTACGTCATGCTTTCTGTCAGACTTGATTACAGCTCTCAGTTTGTATCATGCATTCACATCTCTATTTATAATAGGACTTCGCGTCACGGCTGATCAATGTGGTACCTAGTGCCGTTGTTCAATGCAACGCGCGATCAGGAGAAGGAATCTCGGCGCTATTTAATGCTTAACAAGCAGATTAAGCAAGGAACAAGCAAACGTTATAGACGCGCAGTTCCTTACCACGATTAAAGCTTTCTTCCAAATCGTCATGATAGAACCCAGTCTAGCCAATACTTGTCACAAGGCTTGCTGTGACAACATAGCAGAGGAGGAGCGCTATCGTAGCTCACAAATAGTATGCTGATTAGTAAAGGTAAGCGTCTAGTAATCACTGATCTTGTTCAAAATGCTACACCGAAACTCGGTGGAAATAAATGCACTACAATATTCGGCCGAATTCGGTTGTAGTTCAGATATAAGAAACGACGTGTACTTCGAAGTAAATCATCGAGGCACTCAGCAGAGCATCCAGGTTCAATACTTCTTCCTACACAACCTCTTCTTTCTAAAACTGTCCGATCAAAAAAACGCAGACTCATCGCCCAGCATGGTCAAGATCGCAATCGCAGGTGGTACTGGAAGTACGTTCCTGCCACCCTACACAATCTGAACGGCGCCTAATATCTTCACAGACGTCGGGCAAGAAATTGTCGATGTTCTCACCGCTAGTAAAAAACATGAGATCTTGATCTTCACCCGCAAGGTCAGCATCCACTTGTGTCACTTCTGTCAAAAAATGCTAATGTCTCCCTCAGGACGTCCGAGCTGAGACCACGGATTCGTCCGTTAAATGGGCTAAATCCACCTATGAGGATGTGGACGAATTGGCCGGTCATCTGCAAGGTGTAGACGTGGTGTTATCGTTCATCGCCCCGCATGACCAACAACAAGGTATTTCTGGTCAGAAGAATCTCATCGATGCGGCAGTCAAAGCTGGTGTAAAACGATTCGCACCCAGCGAGTGGGTCTCGTAAGTCACCCCCGTTCTCTCGTCTCGCTCTTTGCGTACTGACATTCCATCAGAGTTGGCCTAGACCACATGGACTGGTACACTTTCAAAAGACACACACGCCAATACCTAGCAGAGCTCAACAAGGACAAGAAAGTCTTGGAGTACTGTCTCTTTCAGCCGGGCCTCTTCACCAACTACTTTACTCTTCCGTACACATCGACCAAGCATGTCAAGGCAATTGAAACGCAGTTCGATTTTGAAAACCGTCGGGCCGTTATACGAGAGGGAGCCGAGAGTGACTATCTCACCCTTACCACAGTGAAAGACCTAGCGAATGTGGTTGCGCTCGCGGTCGACTATCAAGGCGAGTGGCCAGTCACGGGTGGAATCCGGGGGTCTCGAATCTCTATCAAGGAATTCCTTGCTCTTGGGGAGGAGATACGCGGTTGGTCTCCCTACCCTCTTTCCATTCACGCAAGCTCTTCTGTCGTTGTTCCGTTCACTAATCAAGGTGGTTCAGGTGGGCCCTTTACCATCGAAAGGATTCCGAACGAAGACTTGGAGAAGGGAACTTGGACGGCGTCCTGGCTTCCCAGACTTGACCACCCTTCCATTCCACTAGAATTTGTTGAGACATTATCGAAAAAGATGGTCGGTGGTATTTCGCTGGCTATAGGAGCTGGAGCTTTCGATGTAGGCGATGAGTGGAATCGGTTGTTGCCTGATTACGAGTTCACGGATGCAAAAGTTTTTTTGAAGAAGGCATGGGATGGTAAGCCGTGATGGGATAGCATGATCGAGCGCGTCTTCCGGCGGGTATCCGCGGTGATGCGCTAGCGCAAGTGTAGTTGTAAATTGATGGAAGCTCTTTCGTCCGCCGGCTCGGCGGACGAGATCTACTACCCTGCCAAACCTCCCTAAACTCAGGACAAGCATGCCTTCGTCTTCTTAAAAAACATACCACCTCATCGAACTAGTATGCCATCGCAAAATAACCTTGAGGGTGAAAGAGCGGCGAAACGAAGAAAGGTGCGCAAAGGTACTCAGAGTTGCTGGGAATGCAAGAAACGAAAGGTCCGATGCATCTGGGCACCTTCAAAAACTACGTGCGAGAATTGTGTGCGACGAAGAACGACATGTATCAGTCAGGAGTATCCGGATGTACCAGCTTTGAGTACAAAAGCGGCTGATGATGGAGTGGAGGGTCGTTTGAGCCGGGTCGAGAATCTGCTTGAGCGTCTGGCCAATACCACGACCTACGCGGGTCGCAATACACTAGAAAGCCGCCCAGAGACTGCGGTAACGAGCGGCTGGGGTGATGAAGTGGTACGCATATCGTTTTAAAGATTCGTCTTTGGCCAGACCTGACGTCTACAAGGACTATTCGAGGAGCATCAACATTACTCCATCCACCTCTCCAGAAGCTTCATCAACACCCACGAGCCTATCGCAAGCTTCAGAATCACTTAGTAGCAGATACACCGGCATATCTCGAGATCTCGTTGCAGCATGGCCTACTAAGCAAAATCTCGATTACATCTGCAAGCTCCCAGTCGGCCTCTCAACACATTTGCACATCAAATTAACCTCATCTTCGACCAAAGTCATGAATCAGGTACCGAAGAGCCCGCGGGAAATGTTACAATTACCACCACCAGGAGCACATCCTGCGCTCCTAGCGCGGAACCTCCTTCTGTTGAGCAGTCTCTTACAGGGCGCGCTATCGGCAGGACAAATACCAATGCATCAGCGCGCCCATTACAACAAAGTCATGTCTCGGGCAATGGATACAGCAGTGAAATTCGTGACTTCCAACGACGAGTTAACTGCCTCTGCAGAAGGCATCGAATGTATCATGATAGAAGCTATGATCCATAATTATGCTGGTAACCTACATCGCGCATGGATGACTGCACGTCGGGCATCTGCTGTTGCGCAGATGTTGGGGCTGCATCGAAGCAGCTCGAAGCTGTCTTCTTTCAAGGTTCTGGTCCCGGAAACGAGGTCAGGACTTGATCCAGATCAGTTTTGTTGTCGCATTATCGAGATGGATCGCTATTTGTCGTTGACTTTGGGTCTGCCGCAGTCTTCATTACAGACACGCGGATTTGATGCTGAAGCAATGGCGTCGTGTCATCCGCTTGATCGAATTTCTCGTATGCAATGCATAATCGCGGATCGCATATTATCACGCCGAGTGAAAGAGCCCGGCGAACAGGAAACCGAGAATGTCCGAGGGATTGACGAGATGCTGAAGGAGGCGGCTGCACTCATGCCATCACAGTGGTGGCTAGTTCCGGACTTCGATGCCAATGACTTGACAGCGCCGGACCCTCTGCCAGAGATCGCGCGTACAATGTATCAGTTTTCTCACTTCCATCTGGTCATACGGTTGCATCTACCGTACGTTCTTCGCTCGTCAGGAAACAGCATGTGCGACCACAGCAAAGCCACGGCTATTCATGCAGCTCGCGAAATCATATCTCGATATATTGCATTTCGCAGGTGGAATACTGGTCTCTACTACTGTCGAGGGGTAGACTTCCTTTCTTTCATCGCCCTTACAGTGCTATGTCTGGCTCATATCGACGCGCGGAACCAATCGATAGCTCAACACAAAGCAGTCCTCGATCACAGTCGTCCAAGTGATCGTGCGATGATGGAACGAACAGTCGAGATACTGGAAAACATGGGGAGCGACGCGATCGCGATGAAGCTCTCTCGTATCATGCAATACCTCCTTGAAGTCGAAGCAGCATCGGCCAACGGAATTGGCTACAACACTTCCACTAGCGAGGCTGCCGATGGGCTGGCAACAGAATGTGACGGTCAATTTGTGGATGACGAGAACGGCGAGTTGCAGCTCCAAATACCATACCTCGGTACCATCAGTCTTCAGCGCAGGTTGGCCTCATCTACCACGGCAGCTGCGGGGATGCTGTCTGCTCAGGTGTCTGAGCAGATACAGCCATCACTTATAGAGTGGGACAATCAGTGGTCGTTGCTCGATTCCTCAAATGATGTGGGTGCACTCGACGATTGGACGCTGCAGAGCATCAACGAAGGCCTTTTCGAGGGTTTACTCAGTGGATTTGGAGGTGCAGATTTTGGCCCGGAGCTTTCCTTGGATGGGTCGTTGATCCACACTCCTCCCAGTCTCTAGTCCATTCTTCCGGGCTTACCCGTTCAATGAAAGTGGCTCCAGGCCATGCCCAGCTCTCTCTTTGGTGAAACAAATTCATGATGCAGTCGCTGATATTGACACCATCTAACCCCACTTCTGGGCTCGAAGCATGGAGCGTCCATTTTGGGTCTGGAAGCACGTTCAACATTGGTCTGATGGCGGTTCTAGCTATCTGGTCGGCCAAATCGGAGGTGACATTGTGACTGCCTTTGGGCCGCACAGCTATTATGCTGGAGCTAGGCAAACGCGTTTTCCGGAGTCTTGTTATAGTGCCCATGAATTTGATGATGTGGATAAATTCTGGATCTTTGGGTGTGAATACGCGGCGCGCCAATTTGAACTCTTTCCCCTCCCAATAATGGGAACGATCATTTCGAGCGTGGAACATGAAATCTTCTGTGCACCATCGATTGATCGATCTCGTCTTCGGGTAAGCTCTCATAGATTCCCAACTTGTCGAGTCGACGATGAGACGGAGCGGCTCAGCTCGGAGAGCTTTGAGCGTATGGTCGAAGATAGGCCTGCACTCGTCATATGTTGGAGAAGAGGCAAGAAGCATTGCAATCGATATCGATTTGACAACCAAAGTAATGGTCGATCCGCCGCTGGGACTATCCTCAGGAATTGTCGGGTCATGCAAGACGTGGTGGCGTGTTGTGATGGGAATGCATTCGTAAACCATAAGACGCAATCCTTTCGGAAGGTCGAGAAACCGAAAGTCGGGGCCGCCATTGGGAAGCGGGGTGGAGGTAAGAACGGAAGAGCAGAGCGGAAGGCGCGAGGGTCGAGGTGTTTACACCGCAAAAAGGCCTAGTGCATCACGTAAGGAAGGAGCATAGTCATCAAAGGGCAAAACGCAGCATTTCTGGTAGGGGCAATTCGTCTGTGCAAATATTCATTCCTAAACTTATGCAAGCATTGAAATCCTCCAGTCAAGGTATCTTTTAAGCCCATGGCTAAATAGCAACATTTTTAACGCCGGAAAATGCAATACAACAACGCCAGTGTATGCAGATCGTAAATCATGATCTTCGTTTTGCGACGCGGCCGCCGGTGCGTCCACCGGTGAATGGCTTCAGCGCGCCCTTGCCTCGTGAGGCAGGGAAAGTGACCTTATTTTGGGGCCTGCGACGAAGTTGTTTCCGGGTCTGGCTCTTGTCCTTGTTCTTGCGCGAGTTCTTTGCCGAGGTGGTGGTGCCGTCAACGTCCATATCTAAGAAGTCAAAGTTAGCCCTTGAGTCTCACTCAGCCAGTGCGGAGGAAGCGGGTCAAAGGCGAATTTGAGATGGCCATAGTTGGTGAAGCCCAGGATGTCAGAGCACAGGCCCAAGTGGAAACATAGATTTCTGAGCTCGCAATCCTCTTGCGCCGAGTCGAGGGCATTGGTGGAGGGATCGGAGAGGGAGCGCGGTATGGGGACAGTGAGTAGAGACGAACCTTTGGGCAAGTCCTCCTTGGTAGCTTCGTCGGTGGTGTTGGCTGGGACAAAGTTAGCAGGCGTGTCTGGAAGACGTTGGTTGGCGACTCACTTTCTTCGGTTTCCATCTCAGCCTTTTGCGGCTTGGGTTGCGCAATCGTCTCGAGAAGTTTGGCGTGCAGGCGTTCGGCGCGCGCCTGCTCTACGGGGCCGAATACATTGGCGCGAAGCTTGGTGCGGTTCGCCTTCTTGCTGCTTGCTCGTGCGCCTTTGGCCATTGTGCGAGATTTATCAGGGAATATCGGAGGTGCGGGTGGTTGTTGGTCGTGTGTCTTGGTGAAGTTCGGCGTCGGCCTGGTGGGGAAAAGTTCGAGGAAATTTGGTGGCAAGGCGTATCAATCGAGGCCGGCCCGTGCCCTAGTCGCGTTCTTCGCCTAGTTGCAGGTGACGCTGACTTCGGTATATACCCAGCTGGAGATGCGCTCGCCGCGAGAGCCGCCGCCAACGTCGACGGCCATATAGTCCAAAGAGTCGCATTGCGGTCTCTCCTCGTCCGTTTGCTCCTCCACGATTGTTCCGCCCGAGCCAGTGTTGTTCGCTCTGCATCGCCCCCGGGTTTTTGGGAGTTGCGACCAACGCCCGTCCGACTGCTGGATCCCCAGATATCTGCCTTTCGCTGCCTTTACCTCACCCTGCGTCACCAGCCAAAGACACTGCCTGAGAGATCCAGCCCCAGATGCCTTCGCGAGAAAGTCTCTACCGGTAGCGCCTCACCTCCAACCTCCAACATCGCCAGCCCTCACGACCGCGACGGCAGCACACGATGGCGTCAAGCCTGCAGCAGATGGCTGCCACCATAACCGAGCGCTCCAAGACCCTCATAAACAACGACCTCAAAAAGATCCTCAAGGAAGAGGGCACCTCGCAGACAGGCAACAAGGCTGCACTGCAAGCGCGCGTCATTGGCCGTAGGTATCTCCGCTCCCCAACCTTGGGGCTTGCTGTCGCCTCGACACCTGCTAACTTCATCTTGACCAGTCATCACCAATGCAGTCTCTAGGAGCGACGCTGACCTTTTGCGGCGACTGCAGTATCGCGTACAACACCACGGAGAGGCTCCACCGCCAGCGACGAGCAGTCCCGTAGCGCCTTCGTACTCGCAGCCGCCTGCACCCATTGCGAACGGGTACAGCACGGCTAACGGTTACCAAAACAACGCTGCATATCAGCCATATCAGCAGCCGCAGCAGCAGCCACCCGTGCCGCCTCGACCAACCTACTTCTTCAAGGACAGCCCATTCTTCGAGATTCGCGAGCTCGTGCTGAGTAACATAACTTTGGACGCTTCACCAACTCACCGTGCCACCATATCGCGGAACCTTACCCTCAACGAAAACCAGTCCGGACGCCTAAAGACAGATCCGTCCTTGCGGCTACTGCTCTTTTCTGCGCTCGAGCAGCCCCTAGCTCCCTACTCGCGTCTCGATATCGCGTTCCCGTCTCAAATCGAGGTCAGGGTCAACGATGATGAGGTCAAGGCGAACTACAAGGGGCTGAAGAACAAGCCAGGCTCGACACGCCCTGCAGACATCACCGACTTTGTGCGCACCAAGGTCGCCAACCAGCGTAACAGCATCCTCATCACCTACGCCTTGACTCAGAAGGCAAGTCAGTTGGAGGTTTCTTATCTCGTTAGCCCCCTAAAACGTGACCTCAAGCTAATTCTCAAATCCAGAGATACAACCTGTTCGTCTACTTGGTCAGGAAGTTTTCCGTCGAGGAACTCACACAGCGCATCAAACACCGCAACGTCATCACCAGGCAGTCTGTATTGAACGAGAGTATGTCCTTATCCCTGGCATGTGAGGTGTCCGGCACGACTAACGTTATTGCAGTGATGAAAAAGGCCAATGACCCGGACATTGAAGTTGGCTCAAGCGTCATGTCGCTCAAGGACCCCATCTCCACCTTACGCATCGTCACCCCATGCAGGTCGACAGTGTGCACGCACAACCAGTGCTTTGACGCCGACTCATTTCTGCAGCTCCAGGAGCAAGCTCCCACGTGGACATGCCCAATATGCAGCAAGACGATATCATATGAAGCCTTGGCCATCGACCAGTACGTCGAGGAGATTCTGAGCAAGGCCCGGAACACGGACCAAGTCACCATCCAGCCAAGTGGAGAGTGGTCCACTGAGAAGGATGTGAAACCCAAACACAATGGGCACCATGACGATAGTGATGACGACCTCATCGAGATACCAGACTACCGTGTACAGGCCATCAAGACCGAAGCCGCGCCAACACCCACTTCGCTCAGTACCCCTCCATTGCCCTCCCGGGAGGCTTCCAGTGCCCCCCGGTCTGCTCAAAAGAGAAAATCCGAAGTGGTGGATCTGACTTTGAGCGATGATGACGAGCCAGTAAGACCAACGAAAAAGGTAGCGTACACTACCCCTAATAGCCTTCCCGATCCGCCCCGTCGGTATCATCTACCTCCCCTTGGTAGTCACTCTGCTGCCCATAGCCGTCCACTACCACCAGCCTACCACAGTGGTTCTCTCAGCATGCGCTCTGATTACTCCCGGCCTCCATCTACACCTCCATCACGGCATCCGTATCTATCCTATCGACCAGCACAGCCTGCTTCGCGGCCTAGCTATCCTGGACAGGGTACTTCCTCCTACCCTACCTACCTCGGCTCTTCCTCCCCTTAAATTACATGTTGCGCGTTCTTTTGTATCTTTCGTTTATGTATGAGTATGGTTCACCAGCTAACACTACCTCGGCTTTGCAGGGCAAAACAGGGACAGGATGAGGTAGCATATCACCCACCTAGGCAGCTCACTCCGCCGCGGACTGTTACACTACGGGAAAGCTATGCAGGCTGATCAAGTGAAGTTTCTTACACGATCCACTCATCTCTTTCCTAATTTGTCAAGAGGATTTAGCGCGAGGCGTTTGGGGAAAGCTACATTTCATGACCATATACCTGCTTACGGCGTAACAACATTGATTGGGGGCATTGAGGATACCACCGCATGGGAGATTTGCATGCGTTTTGAGAGCTTATACGGGCGACTTTCTGCGATGACAAAAGGGATCAGAAGTTGCGTGATGAAAACTTTGAGGATGAAGGGGAATGTGTGGTGCTGATTCATGTAAAATCGTGTAGCAATGACGCCTTCTGGCCTCCGCCATACCAAATAATTCCAGGGTGACCTAGCATGATTCTTCACCGTGACAAGACTAAACCTCAGCTATTGAAAGAATCTTTTCGCTCATACCTCTTATCCTATACAGATGTATTGTTTCTTGCCGGATTTTTTGTATGCATATTAATGACAATCCGGTTCGCCCTCTTCCCAGTATTTCCTCCATATTGCCTCTGTCAACGGAACGACAGGAATGTATGCATCGCCAAAGCTGTCTTCGCCAAGCGTCTGCAATCTTGCATACAGCGCACCAAACTCATCATACGCCGTGCCTTGCTCTGTCCATGGTAGTACTGGTGTCTGGATTATTCTAGAGTTCTATGATCTACTTGCAAGCTTGCGTGGTTGACCTTTTGGTTTTGGCGCTGTCGTAGGCTCTGAAGCGTCGCCATCAGGGTTCGGTGCATCACCTTCAGGTTTGGATACGCCACCTTCAGATTTCGATCCCAGTTCCTGTTCACGTTGGGCCAAAGCCTTTTCTCTTTCGTCTAGCTCGGTTTGTCGTCGGTCAAGCTCACTTTCTCGTTGATCTAGTTGCTTCTCTCGCTCGTCTAATTCCTCTCCATTTTGCGTATTGGTTTTCTCGCTATCGTTTGATGGCTCCGTCTTTGCTGATTGCGTTTCGCTATCGTTTTGTTTCGCATTCAACTTCCGTGGCTTCTTACGACCCTGAGTGTCGCTCTTTTGTGTCGAGTCGCCACTTGATGACGCTTCAGGCTGGGTTTCGCTGGGTTTTGAGTCTGAATCTCCTCCGGTAGCTTGTGCACCAGCCTTCGCTGCATCTGATACCTCTTTCTGATCCGGCATCATGCCCTTCGCACTCTCCATCCAGCCTTCATCAATTTTGCCTCCACCGCCCTCGCTCTTGAACTTCTCAAGCTCTTCAGTACCAGGCATCTCTTCATCATTAGCCTGTCCCATCATCTTCTCCAACGTCTTCTTCTGCTCTTCGCTCGCTGCCCAATTTGGAAGAAAACTTGTGAGCTTCTTCATCCCCTTTCCGGCTACTTTGCCCATATTCACCCATGGACCATGAATTGCTCCTGTCACTCCACCCACCCCAGCACCTATCCCACCGAGAAGAGTTGAAGAGATGCCGCCGACTAAAGTGCCTGTTATGGCACCCAATGTGGCTCCAGGTGCGACACCAAGGCCCGTGCCCGCTGCCATGCCTTGAAAAGCGCCCGAACGAAGATATTTTGCGGTCTTTCCGAATGACTCAGCCTCGATATGTGCGTTTGTAGCCTCCTCTGTTAATCTCTGTCGTTCGTCTGGATCACTGGCGGCAGCTGCTGCATCCTTCAATTCTTTCGCTTTCTTCTGCGCAGCAAGGGCAGCATTGGCGGCTTTCCCAGATTCTTGCCGCACTTCCTCTTCGGAAACGGCAGGCTTGTCGGACTTTGAGCCGTCTTGGGGTTTCTTGTCTCCATCTTTGTTTAGCTTTTTTGGAGGCATGATTGTGGTTGTCGTTTTCGCAGTCGTGGCTGATGCTGCAGGTATCTGGTAGCAACCCCTAATGTACGTCATCGTCGATAGCCCCACTCGAGAACCCTGAATTGCACGCGTTCAAGACGCGCAACGACCATTCCATTTTCGTTCTCCTGTACGCATCAGCTTCAAAAGAATGGTTGGTGTCATTACGGCTGTTGACGCTTTTCGATTGACCCGATATATAGTAAGTTGTTCTCGAGGAGGTTATTCGACACGTCGGGTCGGCCATTACAATGCAATGAGGAAATCACGAATATGCGATGGCGGGCTTCATTTACGCGCAATGTTCAATGTTGACACTGGGTAGAACGCTATCTACTGAGCGCGACACATCCGACCGTCAGTCTGAACAGTCCAGGCTTCGCTACCTACACCAACCGTGGCGTAGAACAGACCAGAGGGATCCCATTTCTTCTTGATGCTTAACAACTTTCCATAGTTCGAGCCCCAAAAGGTGTCCTGGAAGTTTGGTTGACGGAAGTCAGCCTCGTTCACGTACGACCCACTGCCCGGTGTCGCAGCCTCAACAAGAGGAATAATCTCCTTCGTCATCTTCTCCTGGACCGCAAATGCCTCCGACCACGGAGCTGTAAAGTTCCATGGAAGTGTCAGTGTCGCATGCACGATCGCTTTACGCCAGGCTGGGTGGACTGAGGTCGTCTGCTGCGAGCCAAAGGACTTTACATCTGTTCCCACTCCGATCCAGGTTACTCCCTTTTCTACGACAGCCTTCCATGTTTCGGTGATATTGCTGACGACGCTTCGTGGGATCAATCGGGTGCCGTACTGAGCGATGCCTACTTGGATGTTACCGAGAGGAAGAGGACCGAAGTACTTGTCGTAGTGCTCATAGTACGTGTCGAATTCGCTATACTCGGCGGTGTACTTGACGCCCTTGGAGTCCAGCCTAGCAACGAAAGGCGCAAGCATGGCTTTGACCTCGGCTTCCGTCTTGTTGTAGGCGTTAAGTGGGGAGATCATGAAAAACGAGGATGTAAAGTAATGGACGACCATTGCTCCAGCATCTACCATGGCCGGCAACTCCTCGTGGAACGCTTGGATAGCGTCGTAAAACACATCCTGAGCATTGTCCGTTGTGAAAAATGATAGCGAAGCGCCACCGAAAACAGCCTCCTTGTGCGCCTTGACAGTCATCCCAACCACAACACCATAGGTGCTGCCACCGCCGCCGTTAAGGGCCCAGTACAGATCTGCATTTTCCTTAGGGTTCGCGTTAACAAGCTTTCCGCTGGCAGTCACGACTTCCCAATTCAGTACATTATCCGCAGCAAGGCCGAAGCTAGTACTGATGGCCGAGTGCCCACCCCCCTGTGTGTAACCGCCAGCAACGCCGACAGTAGGGCACTCGCCTCCAACAACAACCAAGCCTTTGTCCCGCGAAGCAGCCATTAGCTCGAATCCTTGAACACCGGCACCAATCTTGAAAGCTGGGCCGTTGTATCCCGAGCCCTTGTACGCTGGGATATGGGTAATGGCCTTGAGATGATGTGTCCATACCGCTAGTGAGCCCGCGCCGGTAGAGCGACCGAGATAATCATGGCCCGTGTTGCGAATCACGAGACGGATATTCTTAGACGCAGCGAATGCGATCGCCTTTTGAACGTCTGCAGGTCCAGACGCGTCGACGGCATAACGGACATAGTTGCCAAGTTCACATGGGCGGTCTCGAGGCTGGAAGGGATCACAGCTCTGGTTGGCGAAGAAAGGCGCCATCACAGATGAGGACGATTCATAACTAGCTGATTGTAAGTATGACATCTTGAACCCATCTGAGTGGTACATACTGGATCTTCTCGTACTGCCACTGACTTTTCAAGCTTTCACAAGTCGCATCGTCAAAAGTCGAACCGTGACAGGGTGCGCCGAGTGGTACGGTAGCCACCAAACGTCCACCTACTGTCTTGTTCAAGCTGTTCCAATCTGATTGCGAAGGCCATGAGCTGTCTCCTGGGAATGTTTTGCATCGATTGGGGGTTGGTTTGCTTGCAGAAACGACGCTAAGAAGCGTGAAGACCAAGACGAAGGAACGCATGACAAGGACCAACGGAGAGCAGAGTTTCGGCGACCTAGGGAATCTCAATCTGCAAGGCATACGGGTTAATATAAAGAGAAATTCAGGCGCCTTGCATGCGCTGCGCTTGATGGTGGCGACAAGCTAGAGTCGATGTGGGACTACAAATCCAGT